ATATCACAATAACAAACAAACATAAATGCAAACAACGTGCATCTAAATAAATACATGAAATACAGATTATATTTACACTTAATGTCTATATTGATGCCTACTGTGGGACATCCATCAGTCAGCATGCACTCCCCTTCTCTTCCTCAGCTGCTGATGCCTACTGTGGGACATCCATCAGTCAGCATGCACTCCCCTTCTCTTCCTCAGCTGCTGATCCCGACAGAAGAGCGAAAATTCATCAACAATATATGACGGATTATGTATTAGGACATACCGTATTTCTTTTATAAACTATTTTTTATCGTGTACTGAATCAGTTAAATAGTCAGGCAGACTGTTAAATATTTTTATACTCATGCAATGGACCCCTTACTGCCTCATTGCGAGATGTGATTGTAGGACATGTAAATTTCTTTTGTGCCTTGTCGGTCTCTCATAAATTGAATAATTAAAAGTAAAATACTCCAAGCTATATATCATAGAAGTCATCAAGGATAAAATATATTGAGAGACCAATGTTAATATATTTAACTTTATAAATGCTGGCCTACATGCCTCTCTATGTTTCATCCCCATTATTCTAATAGTCTTCTTTTGTAAGAGAAAGATCTTCTTGGCCTCTAACGAATTACCTCCCAAAACTATTCCATATCTCATGAGTGAATGAAAGTATGCATGATATACCATTTTAAGTGTTGTAACATTACTATGTGTTTTCATAATCCGTATTGCATAACATGCCTTTCCCAATCTTGGTAACAATGATTCAACCTGTGTGTTCCAATTCAAGAACTTATCAATTTCAATGCCCAAAAATTTAATATGAGTTCCCTCTTGTAATAATTCATCGTTAAACTTTAAATGTACAGGCATATTGTCACGATTCATTGTTTCAAATTTTAGTACTTTAGTTTTCCTCAAGTTTAGGTATAAGCCATTGTATTTAAACCACTGACTTAAGGAATTTAACATAAGTTTAGACCTTTCTTGAATTTCATTGATATTAATACCTGACACTCGGCATACAACAATGATTTGTTGTCAGTACTTAATGCTGACAGCAGGTCATTAATATATAAAAGGAACAGCAAAGGACCCAAAATCGAGCCCTGTGGCGCTCCATATTTTACAGTTCCCCAGTCTGAACAGCATATTCCATTTTCATTATTAAAGAGTTCAACTCTTTGTCTTCTATTTTCCAGACAGGACTTCAACCATATTTTTATTTTACCACCAATGCCGTATGTTTGCTAATTTACTCAAAAGAATATCGTGACTCACACAGTCAAATGCTTTTGTCAAATCACAAAAAATTCCTAATGAATGATTGCGTCTATGCGTTTCTAAAATATGATTAGTTAATGTATATATTGCCATTTCTGTGTTACTGTTTTTTCTAAATCCAAACTGTGTAAAAGACATTAAATTGTTTGTATGTATGTGTTGCTTTATCCTATTGTACACCACTCTTTCAAAAATCTTAGTAAAACTTATTAGCAATGATATTGGTCTATAGTTTGCCATAATTGCCTTCTCACCTGTTTTGTATATAGGTCTTAATGAGGCAAATTTCATTCTATCAGGATATATTCCATGCTCAAAAGATGCATTAAATATGTGACACAATGGTTTACTTATCTCAGTTATACAGTATTTCAATATCTTACTAGAAATGCCATCATATCCTGTAGAATCTTTTGATTTTTCCAACATAAGTATGCTCTTTATTTCCACCTCCGTTGTAGGTATTAGCCTCAGTACTTGTACTCTTCTCCAAGTATAATTATAACAATCAAGTCAAAGAGGATGAGGTGGGCAGGGCATGTAGCATGAATGGGGAGACGAGGAATGCATTAGGATATTGGTGGGAAAGCCAGAAATAAAGAGACCACTGCGAAGACCAAGGCATAGGTGGGTGAGCAATATTAAAATGGATCTTAGAGAGATAGGATGGGATGGATTGGATTGATCTGGCTCAGGATGGGGACCAGTGGAGGGCTCTTGTGAACATGGTAATGAAACTTCGGGTTCCATAAAATACTGGGAAATTCTTGAGTAGCTGCAGAATTGGCGGCCCCTCAAGAAGGACTCAGCTCCATGAGTAAGTAAGTAAGTAGAAATTCATAAGAAAAAGACTTTGAATTATAATCACATATTTGGGAAAATTAATATTTTCAACTTTGGCATGTTGTTATCATTCAATTAAAAATGACCTTTAAAGTGATATAACTCCATCACATATCATTCCTTCTTTTATACGTATATATCTTCATTTGCTGAATAATTGTTCTTGTGTGTCAGGTACACAGTTTCAGTAATTCCATTTATTTGGAAGGACTTACAGAACCAGCTCACATCTACTAAGCTCTTACAGTGTGATCCAAAGAGCAAGAATGACATGGAACCATTCTTCATGAAGGTAAGTATCTGTCTGTTGGGTACCAGACTTGGACTTTCCTGTTAAATATAAACATAGTAAGTCTGTTCCTTGGGGCACATGGTAGCGTAATTGGTTGAGGCACTATGCTACAAACCAGAAGGTCGCAGGTTCGAATCCCGATGAGGTAATTCGATTTTTCAATTGACCTAACCCTTCCAGCCACACCATGGCCCTGTGGTTAACTCAGCCTCTAACAGAAATGAGTACCAGGAATGTTCCTGGGGTGTGAAGGGCAGCTGGTGCATAAGGCTGACAACCTCACCGCCATCTGTGAGCCAAATGTCCAAAACATATGGGAACCTCAACGTCTCACAACCCTATGGGCCTTCACAGCCTGTTACAGGGATAGCTTTACCCCTTCTTTAGTCTGTTCCTTATAATTGACCGTCAACTCTTATCACAATTCTTGTACATTCAGTAGTAGAGACATCTTAACTTGTCAGCCATTTCTAGTTCCAGAACATGGCTGTTGGCAAATTTAAGAGAATTTGTTTTGATAAGTATAAATGATCAGTTACAAGAACTGATTTTGGTAATACACATCACAGATATGAATTCAGTCATGATAGACATAGAACATCATATATGTGTTTAACTAAAAAATGTAAGTATACATACTCCATTTGGTTTTGTACCATGTACATCTTTTTCATCAAATTAATATTAGGAGTGGTGTGTGTGTATCCTGCAAGGGGGTTTTTATTTTTTAACAGATACTATGGCATTTGAATATCAATGATGGACTCACTGTGGTAGAATTTTATGCATGTAGTAAAATGCCCTGCCATATTTTCACTTGCCTACTATTTTTGGTAATAAATAGATTCAGTAGACCCTTGTTATATGCCAGGGTTTGGTTCCTATAGATGACGGCATATATCAAATCAGCGTAAATGAAAGGCAAATTTTAATGTGTTTTAATGAGATGCATTCCAGTTGTACAAAATTAAGATTCTCTTTCATAACATAATGCAAAATTTTTATATATTTTGAACATAAAGATTATATATATGGATTTATGTCACATTTATTCTGTTATAAAATGTAAATATGTAGGCTTAGCTGAAGAGGAATATTTCTTTCATTTGACTCTCCAAGGTACAGTGGGAGTAACTGTTCAATTTTTCCAATCACAGGACCACGTGGGTATCTGAGAGTTGTAGCAGTTTTCCTTCTTGCAGTTTCCTTGTTTCTTAATTTTATCAGCATTGCTTCATGATTGTTCTTCTAGTGGAAGGAGCCATATTTAAATCCATACAAACTTTAAGATATGTTTACCCACCCTCCGTTCTTCTAATAACTTTTATCCTTTCTTCTAATGATACAGATTTGTGTGGCCTTTCAGCCACATTTTCACTGACAGTTGCACTTCCACCCTTATGACTAGAGCTGGTTCAACTTTTATTTTTTATTTTAAAGCAGGAATTTATAAAAAAAAATTTAAGGCACAATATTAATGTACAGAATAAACTACTGTAATGTAACATAAATAATTGTAAAAACTTAACAAACTGAGTTTCAAAATAAATTTGCAGTTAAGTAAAAGAGCCAGTACTGCACACAACAGTATACTGTATAGAGAATGACAGTATAGTATATACCCAAATGCGGCATTTTCATGGATACATGCAGGGACCCTTCTTGGTAAGGAGAGCATTGTATAGAATTCCCCAGAATTTTGGGGAAAACAAAGGAAATTACTAGACAATTTTGAAACTGGCAGATATTCAAATTGGCATATATCAAACCATCATAAACCAATGGCTCACTGCATATGACTTGTGTAATCATACCAGCGTTGCTGTAGTAGTCAGCTGAGTTGTCCTTAATAGCATACATGTAGTCGAAAGGAGTAAATGAACTTTTTATACAAACAAAAGTTCATAGTACCTGTCCAGATGTGATTAAGAGTTTAGAATCCTTTACCAAGGATGAGAAACTAAAAAAGAATTAGCAACAACAGATGTGAAACATGAGTACAGTTTGTTTTATTAATTTACAATTACTGTTTTCTATTTTGCTCTTCAGTTAAGTTCTAAGTTATGATTTTTCTTCTGGTATAGCTGATTCTGAAGATTGGACTGTTAAAGCCATTTTGCGGACTTCTTGACTGAATGGCATGATTATAAACCATATTAGTTTGCTTTGATTTTTCATTCTTTCGTCATAAATGAAGCCAATTCTTGAAGTAATTTTCCTGTAAATTTTTACCAGTTCCTTTCTCACTTTTTCCAAAATTCTGCTCCAGAAAGTGAGGGCACACTTCATATATAAAGGTACTTAGTGCGTGAGTTAATGTTGTGAATAAGTTGTCTGATGCAGGCTCTCTTGTAAGCCCTCCATCATGAAGCAAGCAGTTTTGAGCATGAACCCATGTAACCGAGAATAGTGAATGAAGGTGGTGTAAAATGGAGGAAGTGGGATTTGTGGTGGACAAAGTGGCGCTGGGGAAGGTTTTCTCCGAGTACTTCGGTTTCCCCTGCCAATCTTCATTCCACCAGTTGCTCCACAATCACCCTCACCTATAATCTAGGGCTGGTACAATAGGCCAGAAGTGGCCGCAGTACAAGGGACTTAGCCCCACCCCACTAGCAATAAAAAAAAAGGAGGAATAATCAAGGTCACAGTTTTCTAAAGGATTGTATTATATACAAAATCCTTAAATATTTTCAGGATTCATAAGATGAAAATATGAAGCCAAGTTGTTTCATCCATTTTGGTATAACCATGTTTCCTGTGGGTATATTTGTTCAGATGTCTTTCAGTTAACCTGTCCTACACAGAAGAGAAGTTATTCTTACTAAATCCTTGCCAGTTGTGTCATTTTATATATGAATTTTATGGTTTATAATTTATGGAGTAACTTATTGCTACCCGTTGTTTGATTATAGATTGTTGGAGAGATGGAGCAGGTGTATTATGAGAAGACAAGTCGACACACTATGTCAAGCACGTGTTACAACATCCATTTGCGGCCTGCAGTTATCCTAAAGAACTTTCTTCCTGTAGATCTTATATGCTGCATACAGGGTGTCCCCACAGAAAAGAAGATAAAGGCTGGAGAAAGTATACAGATGCCAACTGCAGAACCAGGCAATACAGTTATTGCTCTTCGAGTGAGTATCTCATATAACCACACACTAACCAAACAACTGACTCATCCCTTTTTGAGAAACCACCAGTCACTCAATTACTCAAGAATTTCCCAACATTTTAAGAAAACCTCAAGGTTCTTAACCATGTTCACAAGAGCCCTATATTGGACCCTATCCTGAGCCAGCTGAAACCAGTCCGTACAACTGCATCCTAAGATAAATTTTAGTGTTATCTACCTGCATACATTTAGATATTCCTAGTGGTGTCTGTCCTTCCAGCTTTCCCACCAATATTCTATATGCATTCCTCTGATCCCCCACATTATCTGGGAATAATTATACGCAGCAATCTAAGTTGGGCTGATCAAGTTATTTACATAGCAAAAATAGCCCGGAAGGCACTTCATTTTACAATGCATATTCTAAAAAAGGGAAATGGCAACACTAAAAGTTTAGCCTACGCATCTTTAGTGCATCCAATTCTGGATTGTAAGGCAGCTTGCTGGGATCCTTACAGGGAGGGAAAGATAAATGCATTAGACCAGGCGCAAAAGAAAGCGGCTAAATTTACACATCATAGGAACTGGGGAACCTTGACACAGTGCAGACAGATAGCTCGCATATGCCCTCTCTTCAAAGCGTACATGAGAGAATGGGCTTGGAAGGCTATAGGTGACAGATTACAAAGTCCATGCAGTCTGAGCAGGGGCGATCATGACAAGAAAATTAGGAGCAGAAAGCAATGGACAGATATCAGAAAATACTCCTTTGTAAATAGGACCATACAGATGTGGAACCAACTACCTTCTGATGCTGAGAGGTGAGGAGCGGAGAGGAGACAGCAAGCCACGAACAAACCCTGGACAACATCAAGAACCGCCTCATCGAGATAGACAGGTGGCACAAAATCTGCCCCATACAAGAAGGACGATAGGAGTATGGACACGAACCTACGTGGTTTAAAGAATTGACAATAAAGGTTTTTTAAATAACATCTAGAAACTTTTAAAAACTTTACAACACCAGGAAGCTGCTGTGATTGTGAAACGTTCGACTTTATGCGTACTGTGCATTATAGGATATAAGTGTATGTATTTTAAATCAAAACACCTATTGTGATGGTAGTTTCAAGTTTGTAATGATGTTCCCTCTGAAGATGGCCCATAAGGACCGAAACATGTAAGGGAGATAAGTTTTAACGTAGTAAAAACTTATATGTCACATTGGACGGAGTGGTTTGTATTCATTAACTTATTTATTTATTTGTTGTATATATTTATCAGTATTTTATTACAAATGTGCATGCTATTGGATGATAACTGTAACATTTACTTAAATTCTTCATGAACAGGTAGATTTTATAGAAAAATGTGCATCATAAATATTTGGAAATATTTAGATGTATGTGGTGCTTCAGCTTTTGAAGTATTGTGTTGATTTCTTAATGATGCAGATTTTTAATAGTGAAGAGCATATATCATCATCATCTTCATCATCAGCAGCAGCAGCAACAACAACAACAACAACAGTAACAACAACAATAAGATTGTTGACTTCTGGAATGTGATACCATGTAGTCTTATAAGTGGTTGCCATCATTTCAGAGGAGTGCATTGCAGNTTTTAATAGTGAAGAGCATATATCATCATCATCTTCATCATCAGCATCAGCAACAACAATAACAACAACTGCAGCAACAACAATAAGATTGTTGACTTCTGGAATGTGATACCATGTGGTCTTATAAGTGGTTGCCATCATTTCAGAGGAGTGCATTGCGTCCATCTTTTGGGTAGAAGAGTCACTCCTATGCCTACAGAATGGAAGTAATACGTTTCTCCCACATGTCTGTAACCATATACCAGACTGTGTGGTGTCACATAACTGAGAACCATAATCTTCATGGTCACCATTATGAGAACCTCACACCTCATGTTGTCATCAATATGGAACTTTTTTGATGAAATGTAAGCAGTTTTCTTTTATCTCATTTGCAGATTGTGGACTACCTGGAAAAGGAATGGTCTTGCAAACACGAAATCCAGTTAAATGCACCTGATTTTGCTGTATGGACATTTGATTCTTATGACAGTGCTCAGAAGGTCTCTCTAGACCTTGGAATGAATACGTTAAGCAAAACGGGTTCCATCATCATGTCGCTCTACTGTCCCTTCTGGATGCTGAACAAAACTGGTGTTATGCTGGCCTATCGGGTGAGTTGCCATGTATTCACATTTTAAACTCTTCTCATCACTGAAGATTCTGAAGTACAATTTTTGTTTTCAGATTGTCGGTCGATAACCATTTGCAGATAACAGCAGCAAGCATATTTCATTGATCTCATACTATTTCTTAATTGTTTTTTTATTTATTATAGTGTTTTTTTTTCTGTTAATCTAATTACATGATACATTTCCATTTGTTTTCAGTTTGATTTGTGAAATCCTACTGTATGGACTGATTAATAATTTCAATTTTTAACTGTGACAACTCTTTAGATGCCACTAATGTCCTTAGGTAGATTACTTTTTAATGGGAATCCCTTTGTCATATCAGAATCTTTGGCCCTTTAGTGTTATTTTGAGGGGGACTGTTACATGGAAGTAACACAATGGTAGGATGGGACTGTATGGGGGGAGGGGATAGTCCCACACCTTCCAGCACATGGAGAGCGGCATGTCTGGAACATTGTGGGCCACATGGTGGCTATAGTCATGTAACATGGTTGTGTCCCCTCTGGACATGTGAGAATTATTTCTCTTGGCGGTGGTACAGACGTTGCTGAGGGGTCTGCAGTAGCGCTCTGTGTTTATGGTGATCTTGAATGGCAGCTCATTGGTCCTGTTTGGACATGCACCTCCACCTCTACTGGTGGCATCTAACCTTGCCACCCTCTTTCTGTTTGCTGTGATATGCCCATTTTGTTGCACAGCTTGTGGTTGACTGCTGGCACGTTATGCACATGGCCACATGATCACCTCTAATGGGCCATATTTCCTAGTATGTAGATTATCCAGAAGGTAAGTTCCAGTGGGCTATTGAAAAAAAAAAGAATTTATTTCCAAATCATTTATATTGCCATTTGATGTACACATACCGTATGCTACTTTTTGACATAGTTTCCACCATTATTGAGGCACTTGTAGTAGCGGGGCACCAGTTTTTGTATCACTGCATCATAGAATGATGCCACATGCGATGCAAACTGCGTGTTAATGGCTTCCTTGACCTCGTCATCATGGAACCGCCGGCCAGCAAATGAAAGTTTTCAGATGCAGGAACAAATGAAAATCACTTGGCACCAAGTATAAGCTCTAGGGGAGATGATTGAATTGTTCCCACCCAAATGTCGCAGTGAGATCTTGCATTGCAGTGGCAGTGTGTGGGTGAGCATTGTCATGAAGCATTACAACACCCCAACTATGCATGCCATGTTGCTTGTTCTGGATTGCACGATGCAGTTTCTTAAATGTGTTACAATAGACACCTGCATTGATTGTTGAGCCTTGAGGCAAGAAATCTGCAAGCAGAACGCTTTTTCTGTCCCAAAACACTGTGCACATGATCTTGCAAGTTGAAGTGGTCTGTTCAAATTTTTTCTTTCTTGGCAATGATGTGTGCCTCCAATCCATGGACTGCTGCTTTAATTCAGGGGTTACATGTGACACCCATGTCTCATCCCCTGTGACTATGCAGCTCAAGAAATCGTCACCTTGCTCACTGTATCGTGTCAGAAAGGTGAACGCACTGGCCTGCTGATTCATTTTGCGTTCATCCATAAGCATCTTTGGCAACCAGCGTGAACACAATTTCTGAAAACGAAGTTTATCAGACACAGTTTCGTGAAGAAGTGGCCGTGAAATTTGTGGAAAATATAGGGAGAGTGATGAAATGGTGAATCATCTGTTCTCTTGAATCTTCTCTTCTACTGCATGCACCAAATCTTCATTAACCACAGATGGTCTACCGCTCCACGGATCATAATACAGATTTTTGTGTCATTCATTAAAGTGTCTCACCCATCTCCATACCATTGAATCACTCATGGCATGTTCTCCATACACCTCACACAGTTGACAAAGAATGTCAGCCAGTTTCATGTTTCTTGCATTGAAGAAACGGATTACAGACCGCATTTTACGTGCCGCGGGTTTCTCGATTTTCTTGAACCTTGTAAACATACAGGACGATGGGCGTTGAATGTAAGGCTGAAAACTCTTTATGAGTTTTAAACAGGGAATAGGAATTGGACCATTTATTTGGAACAACTTTGGTAACATATGAATTTTAATATCATTGGCTACTTGTAATGTTAGAAGTTTTTATAGTACAGGTGGTTGGGAGTTGTTGGTTGTGGGTGTAACAAATGCTGTTTGGATATACAAAACTTGACAATTAAGCAGCTGGCTGAACCTATAAAAAGAACTGTTGACGTCAATGTTTCAGAAGGTAATCAGGTTTCATCAGGAAACTGTTGCAGTTGTCAGCATTTTACTCTGTCACTTTGATTTACTCTTGCACATTATAACCCTTGGGAGACACTTTCTGAAACCATGATTTCACTAAATGTACACACTGTAAAGTTCAAAAGTTCCTGAAAGACGGTAACATTTGTGTCAGAATACCAAACTTGATGAACCAGCTGTATGCATTAAACAGTGCTGTTCTCTGCAGGTATTTTTTTTATCATAATTTTTTGGGGTGGGGTGAGACTGAGTCCAAGTGGCATTCAGCCACTGTTTGGCCTCTTGTACCAGCCCTGGATGATAGATGATGATGTATATGGAACAGTTGGTGGAATTAGAATTGTAGGAGAAACTGAAATACTCAGAGAGAATGTGCCCCAATGTCACTTTGTCCACCATAGATCCCACATGACCTGACCTTGGATCAAACCTGGGCCACTATGATGGAAAAATGGTGACTAACCACCTGATCTGTGGCATGGCCTTTTGTCTACAGGTAACCTATTAACTTCTGACAGCAAAGGTGGTGGACACCATTACCAGTTCACTGTACCTTCCACTGCTCTTTATTGCTGTCATCTGTTGCTCCTGTCTACAGCCATTTTCAGATGTACATAATGAGAGATTAGTGGATGATAGATAATATATCAAAACATGCTCTATGCAAAATATTAAATTATTTTTGTAATTGCTTTCATACATATGATAAACAGCTTGATAAAAAAAATGTAAATTGTTTTGATAATAATAAAAATAGATCATTAAAATCAGTTGTATTTTATAATAATTGTTTAATTTTTTATATTTTGTAATGGCTGTAATGTTGAAGTACTGAAACAGACATTTGGAAAAACAGAAATAATTTATCAGTAAAAAAAAGTAAAGGTATCCCTGTAACTGACTGTGGAGGCCCATAGGGTTGTGAGATGTTGAGGTTCCCACATTTTTCTAGACATTCAGCCCATAGATGGCGATAAGGTTGTTAGCCTTATGTGCTGGCCGCCCTTTACTCCCAAGAATATTCCTAGTACTCATTTCTGTTAGAGGCTGAGTTGACCCCAGGGTCATAGTGCGGCTGGAAGGATTATGTAAATTGAAGGAATCCACCTCATTGGGATTCGATCCCACAACCTTCCGGCTTGTAGCATAGTGCCTCAACCAACTACGCTACCGCGTGCCCCTAATATTTTATCAGTAACATTAAAAAGTTTTACAAGGTGAGTAGTCCATAGCTGTTGTATTTTTGTTGGTATCAGGAGTAGCTGTGATCATCTTTGTCTTACATTTGTAATAATGTGTTTCTTTTTAATAATATTTTGTAACATATTGCTTCATTACAGAGGCACAGATTGCTGAGATGAAATGTTTTCATTTTATATGTTTTGTGTCTTTGTGGTGGAATTGCCTACCTGTGTATTTGTTACTCATGTCCATTTGCTGCTTACAGAAATCCCGTAAGATTGAGCGATCTGAGACTTCTGGAAGTCCAATTAAGGTATAAAATCAACTATCCTTCCTGTGTTGCCTATGCTACATACCTGCTTTTCCTAGTCCAAATTATTTTATATGTTCTGCATATTAGCTAGCATCATATTGATGGAGATTCTCCTGGTGGTCTGTACTGCCTGCATCAACTACCCTGTGTGTATTCTGTATGATGCCCATATGAATTATGTTGGGCTCATTATCATGTCCTTTCTAAAGTTGACTGGACTTGTCATGCCCATCACTTCAATCTGCAAGCATCTTTGTTACACTCCCCTAGTTATAGAGGACTCATTATCATACACATTTCTTAGTTCTTTTAGCTTTTCTATCATACACGTCTCTTGGTTCTGTTGCACTCACAATCATTCTCATGTTTCAGTTGTACTAGACTCCTTATAGTGCCCCTCTCTTAGTTCACGTGGCCTCATTATTGTTCTATTTCTTAGTTCTGCTGGTCTCATTATCATGTCATCTCTTAGTTCTGCTGGTCTCATCATGCCATCTCATAGTTCTGCTGGTCTCATTATCATGTCATCTCTTAGTTCTGCTGGTCTCATCATGCCATCTCATAGTTCTGCTGGTCTCATTATCATGGCAGCTCTAAATTCTGCTGGTCTCATTATCATGCCCATCTCATAGTTCTGCTTGTCTCATTATCATTCCATCTCTTAGTTCTGCTGGTCTCATCATGCCATCTCATAGTTCTGCTGGTCTCATTATCATGCCAGCTCTAAATTCTGCTGGTCTCATTATCATGCCCATCTCATAGTTCTGCTTGTCTCATTATCATTCCATCTCTTAGTTCTGCTGGTCTCATCATGCCATCTCATAGTTCTGCTGGTCTCATTATCATGCCAGCTCTAAATTCTGCTGGTCTCATTATCATGCCCATCTCATAGTTCTGCTTGTCTCATTATCATTCCATCTCTTAGTTCTGCTGGTCTCATCATGCCATCTCATAGTTCTGCTGGTCTCATTATCATGCCAGCTCTAAATTCTGCTGGTCTCATTATCATGCCCATCTCATAGTTCTGCTTGTCTCATTATCATTCCATCTCTTAGTTCTGCTGGTCTCATCATGCCATCTCATAGTTCTGCTGGTCTCATTATCATGCCAGCTCTAAATTCTGCTGGTCTCATTATCATGCCCATCTCATAGTTCTGCTGGTCTCATTATCGTGCCAGCTCTAAATTCTGCTGGTCTCATTATCATTCCATCTCTTAGTTCTCCTGGTCTCAGTCTCATCATTTCACCCATCTCTTATTTGAGGATCTTATGTCAATGAATAATGATGATTTTTGTCTCCTGAGACATGATGTCATGTAGTCTGGTAAGTGGTTATCAACATCTAAGATGACCTTGCTGTGTGCATCTTCTGGAGACAAAAGGTTCCTCTGAAACACCTACCAACTACATGGGGTCCTGTCTCTGGAGACCATAATCTTCACATATAGAACACTATCTTCTGGGTTGTGATGCCATATAGACTGGTAGAAGTTTAATGATGTTTCTGAGGAGCAAACTGACTCCCTCTTTAGAGTTGAAGAATAATGTGAAGAAGCAAGCAGCACTCAGCTTGCTTGGCATATTCTCTGACCATGAAGATGGAGGCAGTGTGTTTCTCTGAAACATCATTAAACTTCCACCAGGCTCTGTGGTGCCACAACCCAGAAGATAGTGCTCTTAAAATCTGTTGTGGAAAGGTGGGAACTGAGTAAGATTAATTTACTCTTTTAGATCAGTCTTCATTCTTCGTAATGGCTGGTTGATTTTTAGGCACTGATTTTATGATGACATTTTATAAGCTTGGCTCTGCTCCTCAGCCATGACATGAATATTGAGAATAATAACAGCGCACATACGTTTTGATGTCATTTGATACTAATAACATGGAATATTGGAATTATGCTTTTGTGACAAAATTCAGTGTCATTGTCAGACCTTACTACCCTTCCACACTGCACTAATGTATGTAATACCAGAGACGTTTGAAGCACATGCACACAATTGTTCAAACCTGGGAGGCTATTAATTTGAATCCCACTTGAGGCATGCATGTGTTGTCATTTTGTTTTCCTTCTGGTGATGTTTGCACATCACCATTTAGCTGAACATGTAAGACTACAGTAGGATGCTGTATGAGATATTGTAGTAAGAAAATTATAGTAATTTCTGCCCATCATTTCTTGTTGTCATGATGTTTGTATTGCATTATGAAATACTTCTTTTGAAAAGATCAGGTGTATAATTCACACCCAGATGACACTGGCTTAGAATAAAGTAAAAAATGCAGGAGTGTGCAATGAATGTCACTACATCCTTCAAGGTACACTTAATCTAGGTTACCCTCTAGTCCTGTGATCATAGCTATTGTGCATGTACTCTGAAAGTAGGGTTCCCATAATATTTCTTAAAAAATGGGACATTTCCATTTTTCCCATAAAAACAGATTTATTTGGTAAAAAAGGGACATGATAAAAATCAATAATACATTATATATTAAACATTGAGAAATTTAAACATACAAAAATGAGCTCAAAATTATTAATTTAGAAACACGCCACTTAAAATTTCTTACAAAAATAAAATTTCGCATTATATAACGTACATTCAGTATACCATTCACACCTTTAATAAACAGATATTTGCTGTTAATACTGTCATTAATACTGCACTTGCGTTTTGCCAGCACTATATGGATGAAAACCAGTAAATTCTCACAGGCTCCCACGACACAAAATGGTCGACAAAGAATTCAGAGATTGATACAAATGGAACTTCTGTTATGGAAGAAAATCTAAATCCTACCAACATAAAAGAAGGACATATTGCCAACAGAAAAACTAATAATTTATGAAATTTTGTTTTGTTAATTAGCCACAAGGAATTTTAACATCGTTATAGAAATGACAATTGCAGAGAATAGCATCTGTTACTTAGCAGTTATTGGCAGAAATTAATGTTACAAAAGAGCACTTAAAAGCGAGACATTTTAAATAAATCTGGGACAGCAGGACATTAAATGAACAAACAGGACTGTCCTGGTAAAACTGGGATGAATGTTTAACAGTTCTTCTCTATTTCGGCTTAATAGCCACACGATGGACAACCACTTTTAATAACCCTTTTCTTCACACCCTCGATGATGTAGCCCCGGTTGCGTTTGTTGTTTGCCACATGTCTTAGAACCACATAAGTGCTGAGAATGGCGTGAGGGCAGGAAGAGGGAATGATGTTCAGGTTGTGAGCATGAGATTCTCTTTAGAGTTAATGGGCCTTGCTTTGAAAGGAGAGGGTTTATGGAAGAAGTCACTGGATCACACATTTCATGATGAAATGGTTGAACTTGATTTATTTGGCAGCACTACACGATTTTACAAATCAGTCACTTTAGGTCACAGATACAACTGTTCTAGTACACAACTGTACACAACACCAAATGGTTACAATGAATGCACTGAATGTTATGAATACAGTACACTGAATGTTATATGTACCCACTCATTCCAAATACTATTACTGTTACTACTATATATACACATACTGAATGTTAGACTCTGATGATTTGCCTAACGCCATCTTAAATTAGTCCTTTAAATACTCTGGGATGACATAATATTCCAGAACCTTCCACATTGGGGTCTTTCTCGAAGTTTCTTCACATTTCTACAGTTTGAGGATATTCTGGAAGTTTCTTTAATTGGGCTGGTGGGAGGAGTAAGCAATTTACATGCCCCACCAACTATCAGAGATAGTTCTAGGTAGCTCTTATCTAAACATTCCTCACCACAAATTCTTAGGATAGTTAATGCAAAGCTGAGTATAAGTCACATTTAGTACAAAAATGGTATTAAGTCCTAAGTATTAATATTTAAGAATTAGGGCAGTAGGTAATGATCGGTTACAAATGGGAACCCTATCCAAAGAGTGAGATGTGAGGTGTCATGTCTACTGTATTTTGTGGGTGTACTGAAGCACTAAAAACCATAAATCTCTTACAGTAAAAATTCTCAAGGTAGGTAAGCCACATCATGTTGAATGCCAATTTTAAAAGACAGTCTGTTTCTGAAACACCAGTTTCTACTCAACATTGATACAGCTGATAACCTAAGAGAGTTTTAATGCATTTATTCACCACAAAAGCTTCAAATTTTATATATTTCCTTTGTATTTTACAGTAGACAGAGAAAACCATCTACTATAGTAGGAATCCCAGCTAAACATGTATAGTGAACTTCCTATTATCTGGCATGCGTGGAGAATCGGCCATGCTGGCTACATGAGGAAAACTCATACAGAACTCAATTTTCCCATGTTTCAAACTCACTGTGACAATTTTTCTCTTAATTCTTTTGGGGGCACATGGTAGCATAGTTGGTTGAGGCACTATGCTACAAGCTGGGAGGTCAGGGGTTCAAGTCCCGATGAGGTGGATTTTTTCAATTTACCTAATCCTTCCAGCCGCACTATGGCCCTGGGGTTGACTCAGCCTCTAACAGAAATAAGTACCAGGAATCTTCCTGGAGGGTAAAGGGTGGCCAGTGCATGAGGCTGACAGACTTACTGCCATCTGTGAGCTGATTGGCTAGATAATGCGGGACCCTCAATATCTCATAACCCTATGGACTTCCATGGCCTGTTACAGGGAAAGCTTTACCTTTACCTTTTTTATGGCTGTCTTTTAAGGTGACAGCAGATTGATGGCAGAGAAATTTTGAATATACTATAATGCAATCACAGGCTCAATTTTCTCTGAAACATTTGCTGGTTGCATGAGAATTCTAAGTGTGTGAATACCAGATAACTGGAGGTTTACTGTAGTTGAGTTGTTTGGATTCACTTTGATTCAGAAACTGTCAGTAGACTGTACTTTAATACAGGTATGCAGCCAACCTAAGACAGTTTTCTGCTGTATTGAGCTCATGTCATTACAAATGATGAAGATTTATTCAAAACCCTTTTAATCAGTTAAAAAATAGCCATTTTATATTTCAGCTTTTGCATAAAGCCAAAAACATTTGTTACCTGAGTGCGTCTGTTGAGCCAGCAGGTGTCATAGACTCTGTCAGAATTACGTGGTCTGACAATGAAGCTTGCGAACTCATTGCAGTAAAAGTTGTAGATACCTCATTGCTGAATATCACTGTGGTCACCTTCAAAGTACTCCCCTAGGGAAGCTATACACTGATGCATAGGCCACTCTTCAAAAAATTTTGGAACTGGTTTTGTGAAATGCCCTTCAGAGCTGCCATCTCCTTATTCCTGATGTCATCAGGGTCATCAAAATTCCTTCCTTTCAGTGTTTCATTTATCTTTGGGAAGGAAAAAAGTCACTGGGGACTAGATATGTTGAATAGGGAGGGTGTTTCAGCAGTTATTTGTTTACTAGCTAAAAACACCCTCACAGACAGTGTTGTGTGAGCAGGTCCTTTGGGACCATTTTTTGACACCTTCCTCATATCAAGATCTTCAGTTAAGATTTTCCTAACTGTTTCTTTTTCCATGTTTGCTTGCTCTGCATTGCTTCTTTCTTTTTCCATGTTTGCTTGCTCTGCAATGCTCCTGACAGTCAGCCGACGATTTTCACACACAGTTTGACAAACTTTTGCAATGTTTTCTTCAGTTCTGCTTGTTGCTGGCCATCCTGATCTGTCCTCCTCAGTGACACTTTCACTTCCCTCAGAAAAACGTGTCACCCACTTGTAAGCTGTTCTTTTCTGCATAGCAGTATCCCTGTAAACTTACACTAACATCTTTCTAATTTTGCTTCCACTCTTGCCAAGTTTAACAAGAAATTTAATTCAAGCTCCAACATTCTCACAACGGCACACCAAAACACACTTACACAATAATAGACACCACTCAGAGACTGCCATAGATCAACAACAACGCAGCTGTGAAACGCTGATATGCCAGTGTCATCAAACCATACTGAGATTTCTTTCCACTGCTGCCATTGCAGGCACACAGTGACAAGTTAGCAAACTCTATTGTCAGACCATGTATATTATGTTCTTTTGCTGTTGGCTGTGAATTTCCAAATATCTCCATCATACAGTAAAACAGTAATATCACACTCATGACTTTACTTCCTTGTTACTTCACCATACACTTTCTTGGCCTTTCATGGTGGTGACTGTTCAGATATTGGTGGTCTAGGTTGTGGCACTGCAGTCTTGAAGGTGGATACCCTCATGTAGGTGGAAGAAGCTGCCTGCATCTTCATATTTGAAGTTATAGGCTTCAGTGCAGCCACCCCCAACACTGCCTGGTATCACAATCCAGGATTTTCAATTGCATAATTCTTAATAAATTGAAAGTTAAGAACAATTCTGAACAGTTTGCCAAAAAAAAATATCAATTCATTTGCTATAGATTTTGGAAAGGTGTAAATGTTGGTTCCAGGCAACCATGAATTTAGTGAAAAGATTATTTTTGCTGTCTCATGCTACTATTGCTGTCTTTTGTTTATTCCTGTACCTTCTTCGCAGAGACCACAACTTCATGTTCCACAGGGACAATATTCCATTTCTCTGTACCTCCCTGCGCTGAAATTAATTGTTCCTTGCTATACATTTATGGATCCAAACAGCTCACCTCTAACTTTTTTTGTTAGTAAGTAAATACACAGTTTTACAAAGCAACTGACATATCAAACATTCAAATCATTTAATCATTGCTCCTTCTGTTTTTATTTCCTGTCCTGGATGCTTACATATCACCTTCATTCTTTCGTCATACATTTCGAACAAAAGTTTTCCAGTTTTCTTCACTGATTTTTGCTTCATCATTGAGTCTGTTGTTGCCAAAAGTCAGATTTTACTGCATGATTTAGTTTCTGAACACTTAACTTAGTCTGCTTCCTCACTCCACATCGTACGTATTCGTTTTTTGATGTTATATCTTCATATCCTATAATTTCCGTATCAAAGTGGGTCCAAGCATAACTTTTTCCAGAAATTCAAGTTATATGCATTTCCTGCTGTTGTTTATATGAAAGTCTTATTAACTGGTGCATAGACATGCTAGAATGTTAGAATTAACAGTATCAGCAACTAACCATTTAATTTCAGTTATTATCATTGTGAAATGCTTTGCTCTATATTTGTGCTGTACTTCTTCTGTGGTACTTTAATGTATACTTTCAGCGTTGGGCATCAAATCTTAGTCTGTCTAATGGCAGGTCATCATCTGCATTGAATTTGAACAGAGAGGTTATGGTACCAACAAGGACAGCAATGGCAGGATCAGCTGTGGTGGTGGGTTTCTGGAGTGCCTTGTACAGTGTCAAGCACTAAGCATGTTGTTACTTTATTAATATTCTTACAGGACAGTTTGTGGTTGGAGTTATAAGCTTTCTGGCGCTCCCTGTGCAACTGCTCATTGATTTGATTTATGTAGCAAACATGGACAAACTGTAGCCAGCAGATAACTTTGGAACATACTTCAGTGAGAATATGGGCCCTCAGACAACTTAAAATTCCTCTTAAAGGATCAGAACTTAACAGTATTCAACAGGATGTTTGTTTCCTTCGGATGTACGCCAAGTTTGATATCACATGATCTTTGGATCCATTGTTGATTGTGATGATCTAAGTATAAAAATTCAAATTCCAGAAACAGTATTCTTAATATATATATATAACACTTTGGCTCTCTGTAGAAAATGTTGAACGTTTCTTTACATTTCATGTACTGTTTTTCATTTATTGGTATTAGATATTCAAAATGATGCAATGATTGTGTTCATTCTGTTCTTGAATGTTGGCACGATATGTCTGTGCTGTTGACATTTCGGAGAATTGTACTGTTGACAAGTACCTGTTCTCCAGTCCTGTGCCAGACCAGACCCTAATATCTCTACCCTTCCATAGGTTTGACTGACCTAGAAGATGGATGCACATTCTTCCAAAACATTGACAGCACAACCATCTTCTGCTTGATGCCAGTGCTGAAGAGCAGGATCAACAGTGTCTTTTTCAGTTGTTGTAGAAACAATGTAATCACTTAAACAAGCATTGTCTTCCAAAGATTTTGGCATCATGAGTTTGACCACTTAGTTCATTAGAAATCCCATGTATGGAACATACACAAGATAATGTATCCAAAATCACATTAAGGCTTCCATAAATTCTCTGCAGGGTATCACACTGGAAACAGAAATGTTTTTTATGACCACATGTACTCCTGTATTTACTTCATTCTCTTTGAAAGAAATATATTTTAAGTTTCCACTCAAATCTAGAACCATGTGCAGTATTGGAGTTTTGACACTGCTGTTACAAAATGTGCTCAGTATATCTATCATTCATGCTGACACAAACATGAAAATTTTTTCTTCTGATCAAAGAGAATATGATGAATTGGTATTATCACGTGTTAGTGACAAGATCGACAGTTGGGTTTATTGAACACTGTTAACTGGCAACTACAAAGTATTGTAATACTATCACTAATCTACACACTTAACAACTCACTATAACATTTGCTATGTGTTAGTCTGTTAAGAGTCTTCACTGATAATTGCTTAGTAGCAGCTCCTAGCAATATCTTCTTCACTTCCTCCATACTCACACCATTGCTGCCTGGCTACCAATTCGCAGTTCTTTGACTCTTGGCTCCAAGTCCAAGTTCAAGTCACATTGTGACTGATGGTCCATCAGTCTGTCTGTCTTGGTGTCAAGCCCCGACTGGGGCTCATGACCAGATTTTTTTTTCTTATATGAAAGTTACTGTCCTGTTCATTTGGGGCGCCCTCTCTGATGAGAGGCTGGGTCTGTCATTTGTCAGTCATAGTCTGTGTTAGTAAGTCCATTGTCAGTATTTACATATATTTACAAATTTAATCTTAATTCCTATTTCTATATACAGTATATACAAGGCTTCTGTCAATCCAGGCTCAGTACAGCAGATTTTGCCCTATTTCTACCAGTATTCGCTACCACGGCAGTCTAGTCACTTGAACGGTAGTATGCCTGACCGCTGCCAAGTTTAAGCCTCTTATACTTTCTGTGTTGGGCTTTGCCTTGTCCGATGTTGCGAACATTCTCACCTTCATGATTTTGTATGACTTCTGCTTGTTTCCTGCATAATTTTGTTATATATTCACATACATACAGAATTTTAAATGCCATGTGCAATCGCGGACCGGTGTGCGCCTTGGAAAATTGCCAATGGTGCGGAGAACCTTGTTTTGCAGGCCCTGCAATTTCACTAGATGAGTGTCTGCTGTGAATTCCCAGGCGGGACTAGCATAAGTCATTATGGATCTAATGAGAGCTTTGTGGAGGATCATTTTAATGTTAGTGCTCAATCGCTCACTTTAACTCTCAGCTCTGACTGAGTCCTCCTTATATTAACTTCGGTACTGACCACATGGAAAACACCATTTCTAACAGTTCCTCTGTTGTCCCATTGTCATGATACATGTATATTGAGCCACGGAAATGTGTTTAGTTTGCCGTTGCCTAGCAGCAGGCATTGTTTAAGTTATCGTGTCACAGTATTTTGATACCCCAGTTTCTGCAACCATACAGCACAGAGATTTCATCAAGCTAAGAGTTGCAAATCTTCCCAAACACTGATGTCATAACAGAACCAGAAACATGTCATTAATGTCCACTATGTGGTTTATATAACACTAGTGCCATCTTCTTGAACTTTATGAGCAACTTGCCCACACACGTATGGATAACTGTGGGCCATTCTGGATAACACTGAATATTTCTGCGACTTTTTGTTAGCTATGACCTCCACATGGCAAAATTGCTTCCACACATTCATTTTCACTCACTGCCATCACTCACAGCTATGAGCCGGGATAGCATAGCTGGTATAGCATCTGCCTGCAGGCTGTACAACTGAGGGGTCAGAGTTCAAGTCCTGGTAGGGTCAATAATTTCCTCCACATCATCCAGACTGGCTCTGGAGCCCACCCAGCCTCCTATCCAATGGGTACTAGGGGCTCTTTCCCCGGGTGTAAAGCAGCAGGAATATGAAGATGATCATTCAGCTCCAACTAGTGCCGAGGTCAAGAAAGTGTGGATCTATACATCCACTCCCCCATATGCCTTCGTGGCTTAATGTTTAATTAGTTAAGCACAGAGACAACTTTACCTTTACCTGCCATCACTCACAGATGTAGAAGGAGGAAGAAATGTTGCTTATGGTTCTGGGCTTACCAGATGCCTTTATGTGAATGTGACTCAAATAGAATTTTATGTCATTCAGAATCTTAATTACAGAACATCTGTGGAGCATCTCTCTTACCTAGTCACACACTATGACAGTAGTTGCAGTATAATTTTATGTCTTTATGTACTGTAGTCACATACAGAAATCTGTGCAAAATGCATATGTGACATTTCAGTTAATTCTTGTACTCTAAGCATTAATGTGAAACAGCTGTTCTCTATAAGGTGTTTTAAGACAATGATCTGCATATAATTTATTTACCACATTCATTTTAATATTTTCTTTTGAAGAGTGAAGTTTACATGTGGCCATCCTAATAATGTTACACTATCGTTCTCAAAATTCCATTTTATATTTTGCTTTCCAGTTATCTTCTCCTGTAGATGCAAACAGTTTTGAACATATGGAGCAATACTCCTGCAAGTAATTAGTTACAGTTTATGGAAGTTGCCTGATGACAAGGTTCATTCACATCTGCTGCCTATCAGTTTCAGGCTTTGCTGTAATATAAGCAGCCTGTGCCAGATATTCATTTTCAGTTTTATTAATTTCAGCTTCATTAATGCTCTAATGCAAAGGTGAAAGAGTATTGGCATGACTACTTCTGAATTTTTCATAATCCATCTAACATTGATGGATTGTAAATAATAAGGCTAATACTGATTGTGATAAATTGAGCCTACATAATAAATAGTGTAATCCATTAACCTCATTTACTTTGGGTAAGCAAATGAATATACAGAAGTAAAAGTGTTTCTTATTGTGCTTATCAGTAGGAGAGATTTTGAAATCTCAGTATGCCATTGTGTGTGTAAATGTTTCTGTTGATGTGTATTACAGTAAACATTGCTATTAATTTTGACATTGCAGGCTTGAGGGTTTCTTTTTCAGACATATTGTTTCAGGAACTGGATTTGTTTCCATCACCAGATACAAGGAGATAAATGTTTATAATCAGTTGAACCCTTCAGAAGGAGCTAGTCATTACCAGAAGTTCCAGGGTTATCTATCCCTGTCTTACAGGTCCAGTTGAGCAGGAATCTTTCTTTTCTTACATTTGTTGATGGGAACAGGTCTTGTTTTCAAAATGATGTTTTTGGAAGAACTCCAGATGATTGACTGTCTGAACTAATGATCAAGTTTAATATGCCATTAGTTTAATTATAGGTCTGTAATCATTCCCCAAGGTTCTGTATGATTTGCTGCTAGACCTGGAATATTTTGGCAATATATAAATGTTCTCATTGTGAAATGTCAATTTTCCTGCCAGGTGTGTGATTTTGTTAACATGTTTGTTTGTATGTTGCCATCCCAGTAACTCACCTATAGAAGTCAGCATGATTGCAGATATTGTCAGAAACTAATGTTTTTAGCAAGTGATTTTATTGTGGTTAGTTTGTTCATTATGTATTCACATTTTGTACACAAATTTGATACTTTGTCTTCCCTAAGGAATGAGTTTATACTCCTTGTCCTTATGTGTTACTTCTGTTTTCTGTGTAATAGTATATTGCAGTTCCTTTGATATCTCTCATGCTGTAACATCAGTATATCAGCTTTTCATAAATTACAGCAATCTGATGAGACTGCCAATGTAATTTACCACCCAGAGGACTTCAAGGGTCCTGTCCTCTTCTCCTTCAGAGCTAAGTCTTTCTTTGGGAAGAAGAAAGCATCTATCAGAGTTGAAGATGGAGAATGGTCAGACAAGTTCTCTCTGGATGTTGCTGGCAGTTCAGGTGTGGTCAACTGTACCACAGGAGGAACCACTTACCAGGTATTGCTTAGACCGGCAGTTCTTTGGTGCAAATATCTCACGTCTCAGTTTAAAAGTGACAAACATGTTCTGATGCCACATAACTTAAAATGTGACTTTGTAAATATAAAACAAATCCTCTAAAGGAAATAATTTGGATTTTAGTTTCTCATGGTTGAGAATATGACTGTCTTCTGGGATATGACGCTGTATGGTCTGGTAGAAGTATGCTAACGTTTCAGAGAAGTGCACTGCCTCCATCTTCAAGGTCAAAGTTTGCTGCTGGTTGTTTTCTTGGCTTGCTCTTTGACCATGAAAATTGAGGTAGAATGACCCTACAAAACAAAAGTGAAGTTCTACCAGACTATACAGCATCATATCTCAGAAGAAAGCACTCTTCAAGATTTGTTTCTAATTTACAAATTTAATGCGAAGGATGAGGAAAGTATGATACCTTAATTTACGGAAGATTACTAAATGGGAATGTGCTTACTGAACTCTCTTCCACATATAACGAAAGAGCCACTTAGAAATATGTCCATATGGGAAATAACTGAGCTATGTTTGGCCCTGGTGGCCACACTTTGGAATTGCTGACTTAGACTGTCATTGCAAAAATGCATTTTTAGACCTACTTGGAACCAGCTGCCATGGCCAAGGCTCATTGTCAGTGTTTCTGTCCTACAGGGCAAGGGCTGAAGTGCCAGTATCCAGTCAAATATAGGCAGCCGTTAGCTTTTTGCACAAATCTTCCATCTCTTGGTTCATAGCCATTGATATTTCTTGATATTTCTTCAGACAGTCTTCTGATACTTTCTTACTGTAACAAATATATGTGAACCACTTCATTTTCATGGGTTTCTTTTTCTAAAGTATTCATTTCCGCCTGGTTATTATACAAGTTTTAGCCACTGCTAAGTGTTGTGCCGCAATTTTGAGACTAGAAATCAAAAAAGCATTGCCTAAACATTACGAAAAGCGTTTACAGCAATCGAGCCAGAATGGCGACTCCTGGACGGGCGATTGAGGTCAAGAATGTTAGAGTCAGCAAAAGGCGCACAATCGCTCCACTTTATAAGTGACGTTTGTAAACACCTGGAGACCGCGAAATTACAAAATGCAAAGAGGGCGGCACCGCATTTTTTCCGCAACAAGTCGGATTTAGCCAATTAGAATATACCGCTTTAGAAATTGAGGACGAAAGGAGGAGTTAACCTCCCTCTTTCGCCAAGTGCAGTGCCAGCAAAATTAGTGTATAAAAATGAAAAAAAAAAACTCAAGGGGATCTGATCTAAACGTAATAACGAGTTGCTAGCCGGAGGCTCTATCCGACATGGGTGCCACGAGATGGTGGATGGTGACATTTATCTGCGTCTCTATTGCAAGTAAGTCTCTTTGCTCATATTAGCCATGTTATTAAAAAAATTCAGTGTTGTTGTGTGATCTCAAAGTACAGTCTCCAGTGTACCCCAGCGAGCACCAGGGTAGAATAGGGTAGAAATTGTGTAGAGAGTGACAGACAATGGAGGGAAGCAACAGTCTCGCGGCATCACCCCCGAGAGGGAAATTAGAGAGAGAATAATGAAACGGCGTTATGTAAACTGGCCGAAGGCGGCCCTTTTTATTGTAAATANAATGATCCAAATATATAATACTTCATGTATAGAGTGTATCACCAAATATGATTAGGATGAACAAGTCAAGGAGGATGAGATGGGCAGGGAATGTGGTACATATGGGGGAGAAGACGAATCCATATGTTCGGTGGGAAAGCCAGAAGGAAAGAGACCATTAGAAAGACCTAGATGTAAGTGGTAGGATAATATTAAAATAGGTTTTAGAGAAATAGGATGGGATGTTATGGACTGGATTGTTCTGGCTCAGGATAGGGAGCAGTGTAGGACTCTTGTGCACATGGTAATAAACTTTCAAGTCCAAAACAGTATTGGGAAATTCTTGAGTACCTGAGCAACTGGCAACTTCTCAAGAAGGACTCAAGTTCATGGAGTGAGTGAGTTAGTAAGTGAGTGACTCAATCAGTCATTGTGTTCTGAAGTGTTGTGTGTGTGACTAGTTGGCCGAATTTGTTATTTGCTGTTACATAATTAATGACAGATGTCCCAGTTGTGCTCCAAGTAAATTTATGAATGTCCTTCTTTCTGGAAAACGTAATTGTCACTCTCAAATCAAAGATCTGAATTGCTGACAATTTTCATGTATTTTATGTATCATACTTTATACATTATGCCCCATTTTATTGTATCCATAAGAGACAACTGACAGAATAATTATATTTTGATGTCATGTTTGAAATCATACTTACAGCGTGTTTTTGTTCTCTGTGCATTTTACTGAGTGGCCCAATAATTATTTCATTCACAGATCATAACTAATATATCAGACTTCCTATTATGTGGCACTCAGAGAGAGAGAGAGAGAGAGAGAGAGATTTCAGTTCAAATTAAATTCTTGCCTGCAGTGAAGAAAAGTCTGCTGCAAATTACTGTTTTAAGCAGTACTAGGCCTCTTAGCTGGCAAGCTTGAGATGCAAGACAAGGCAGATTTCAGGTCCCAGGACTAACATGCACATAAAATATAAGATAAAGTATGAAAATTGAAACTGAAATTATTTTCATTGCTTATCAGATCATTGTCCTTAATTCCATTTCCAAATTGAAACCTTTTTGAGCCATATTCATACGTGAACTCTCATTCAAAATGATTCAGCATCTGACCTTGTCTTTGATTAAAGAGAGGAGTAAATAACTATAGTTATTATGGAGAAGTGAGTGTACTCACAAAAGGGTAGGTTTGAACCAAAGGGTGCTACATGCCATTCAGTCAAAGCAGCCAGTCTGTGAACTACTCAGTCATTGCTGCCAACCCACTAGTTTAAAGAATATCTGGATGTCTGACATCTTTGGCTTTTTGAATAAAATACAAGATCCAGTACCTGAAGTGTGATACATAACTCTAACAATGACAGAACTTGAGCGCTGTTTCATATGTACCTTTGCAGGTTGGCGTACACATTCAGCTGACACATTCAACACTGACAAAGCAGGTTATCTTCATGCCATACTATGTGTTGGTGAATAATGCCAGTTACGTCGTAGAATGTCAAGAAGCAGATCGACCTGCTGATCCTTGGATTAAGGTAGACTGTTGCTGAATGGCAGATATTCCAAATCATCTGTACCATTGATAAACATAGTAACCCATGGACAGTAAGTTTTGAAGCTTTCACAGCAAGTGAATGTGCCGAAATCTTCTCAGGTGATCAGCCATGTCAAAGGTGAAGATAAAGCTATCCCTGTAACAGGTTGTGGAGGCCCATAGGGTTGTGAGAGGTTGAGGCTTTGACAGGCTTTTCTAGACAGTCAGCTCACAGATATGGGTGAAGGTGTCATCCTCACAGACTGGCTGCCCTTTAACCCCAGGAAGATTCCTGGTACTCATTTCTGTCAGAGGCTGAGTCAAGCCCAGGGCCATAGTGAGGCTGGAAGGATTGGGTCAGTTTAAGAAATCCAGTGGCCTCATTGGGAATCAAAACCACGACCTTTCGGCTTGCAGCATAGTGCCTCAACCCACTACAGTACCGCGTGCCCCAGCAATGTCCTAGTTGAACTAAAAGCCAGAGGTTCATAGATATCCTCAGTCTCCATCATCAGGGTTGATGGAGATAGAGGAGGTCCCTAAAACTGTGGTTTTTATTTCAACTTTGACACAGTTGATCCCCTGAGATGATGGTAGCAATATTGTTTTTCATCACAGGAGGGAAATGAATTCATGAGAAAAAAACAGCCCTTTATAGAGCCTCTGCAGATGGGACATGGTAATTGCTAAATTAGCCATACTTTTTCTGAGGGCTCTTGTAAAATGGGATGTTTTAATTTTCTTCACAAATATAAATAATTATCTTATCTTTAGACAGAAACTTCTTCTTCCTTTCCTTGAGGGGAGGGATAAGAGGTTTTTACAACCTACTGAAGGGGCTTTGTCTTCTGTCCATGTTTTTATGGTTACTTCTGTTATAAGTCAGTTGACATGTCCAAATCTCCTGCTCCTGACTATGATAGTTCTTGCCCAGAGAAGAACAGTTTTTTTTCTTCACAGTTCCACAATTTGCAAGTGGCTGTTGGAGAGAAATTTCTAGTTTCCTTGAAGGAGTGGATAAGAAGGTTGTACAGCCTGCTCAAGGGGACTTTGCCCTCTATCCCTGTTGTTAGGGTGGAACTGGATTTACAGATATGTTGCTTCTCTCTTATAAGCTAGTCCATGTGTCAAAATTTCTGGGCCAAGTTGCTGGTACTGTTGATCACGATAGATCTTGCCCAGAAAAGGGCTGTTTTTTCTAGCATACATTCCTTATTTTGAAGAAATAAATGGAGGCTTATGACATTGCCTTGCTACCTGTGTGTCTGTGTATCCTGCCCAGTCATTGCTAGGCAATTACTTGATACACACTTTCACACAGCATGAATACACACACAACAGTGGAAGAACTGTTGGACAGAGTGTTTTCTGTGCGGCCCATGTTGTGTTAAATACTCAGTATACAGTTAAAGGAAGGTAAGTGATTAGTTCTACACAGAACTTCTTGTGTTTTCATAATTCCATCTGCCTTGTGGAAGAAAAAAGAAACGATATTATGGCCCTGAAAAGTCCATTTTCCTGTTCGCCATTCTTCTTGGCCTTGCCTCTTCCCCCCTCCCACCCATCTGAGTCATCTGCTCATATAACCCAACTGATCCCTTGCCCTACATACTTCAACCATGAAGATGGAGGCAGCCTGTACCTTTGAAGCAGTGGTATCCATTTAGAAGGGTGCATGGTGTCACAATCCAGAAGACCACAATCTGAATAGTTAAACCTTCTGAATACTCTTTATTACCTTCCATATTGTGTTGTCCTGGTACAGGTGAAACCAGGAGAATGCAGTCCTCTGTGGCCACGTAGCAAAGATCAGAAAAAGGAGATGCGTGTGAAGATACAAGGCACCTCTGAGATGTCTGCTCCCTTTGCCTATTCTACAGTCCACACAACAATGCTAAAACTTTACAACAAGGTAGTAACTTTGCCAGTTAATAGTATTTATTTGTTTCTTTGGAAGCATTCAGCAATATAAACAAAAAGATACACTGTCGGAATAATTGCACTAAAATTCATGTATATGAAAGAGAAAAGGCTTTCATTGAAGGAGCGATTGTACTTCATACAACCAAAATTCTTTTGTGTGTGTGCACGTTCATGTATGTTGGAGGTGGGGTGGGGGGCACATACATTTGTGTGGGGTGCCGTGGGGTGCCAGCCTGCATTATGATGGATTTACTAGTGTGCATTGTGGTGGTTTCCTATATTTTTCCCTGTATAGTTGAATGCGTTTAAAATATGTTGAAATATACTGAATTTATGCAATATAAAAACATGTATTGCTTATTCATATGTTATTGTAACTGACTTTAAGTCATACTAGCACTCATAAGTTTGCTTGTTAATAATTTAGGTGTTAAATTATGCATAGAGTTACTCCTCATTTTATTTAAGTTTGAAAAAGCTATCAACTAATTAATCTCATCTTAATACATAGTGCTCACTTTATTGTGAATTGCATGCTGTCTGACTGAGAGGGGCAGGGAAAGGGGGACTAGGATATTGTATGGGTGGCAGAGGAGAAATATGAGGGAAGAAGAAAAAATATGGGCTAGGTGATATTCAGTTTATATGATTTCACAGTGCAGTACAACACAGTACAGTACAGTTGTAGAACATACCTAGCATGTGAGAGTCTTGAATTTTCAAATTTCAGTCCAGAAATGGAAAATCTTAATTTTCTTGTTAATTTTCCAATCTCAGACTTTGAGACATTTCATATGACTGCTTTTGCTTTTCTCACTAGCGTGCAAACTGCCCAGTCCGTCAAATCATAATAGTTGGCAGCACTAGCTTTACTCAGCTTGTCAACAAATTGTGTCTCTCTCCATTCTTTTTGCCCATGATGAAAATTATTATGGCCGAAGAATTGGATTTCTTTAATAGCTATTTATGAAAGTATTTCATTTAAGAAATATGATATCAGAAGGGAAAAATACTACACTTTAGTGCAGTGTAAATGATGGTTAGTGTTATAAATTGTAAAGGTAAAAAGATAAAGTTGCCCCTGTGCTTAACTAATTAAGCACTGTGCCATGAAGGCTTACAGGGGAATGGATGTATAGATCCACATTTTCTTGACCTCGGCACTAGCTAGAGGTTAGTGGTCAGCTTCACGCTCCAACTGCTTAACCCCAGAGGGAAAGAGCCCCCAGTACTCATTGGATAGGATGTTGGATGGATGCTAGAGTTGGTCTGGACGATGTGGAGAAGAGAAAATTCTTGACCCTACCAGGACTTGAACTCCAACCCCTCGGTTGTTCAACCTGTAGCCAGTCGCTATACTGACTAAGCTACCCCAGCTCCCTAGTGTTATAAATTATGGTTACATAAAATTCTGACTCGTTTCTTGAAATTTTTTCTAACTTGTCTTGCTGTTAAAAAACTGAAAACTGAAAAAAATCATGCCCACACATGCTCAAAATATACCTGATGATGTTGAGACGCATATTTTACCAGTTGTAGTTTTGTGAATTTGCCATTTTGTATATCATGTGATCTGCTGTAATATACAGAATCTGTATTCCATATCAGATAAAGCAAATTGTCTCTGTTCTGGCTCTTAATGTGGCCCCTTTTCAGAACAAGGTGTTCATTTTGTAATATTCCATATTTTTGTTTCTCATGCACACTATGTCTGTTTCTTTCATCATCATCATTAATTTTGCTCTTCTGTAATGACTATAGCAGACCCAACTTCTTGTTTCCAGTATGGAGGCGTAAATGTTGATGTGCAGATGACAGAAGGAGCTGTGTATGTAACATTCTCACCATACAGCCCTGGGATGGCTCCAGCACTTATGCTCAACCATACCAGTGATGCTCTTAGTTTGTGGGAAAAGGATTCAAATACCATCATGTATGTGTGGTTCCTTCTTTTTTCTTCCATTCCTGCTTTCACTCCTCCCTCCCTCCCTCCCTCCCAACCCCATTTCATTCTTTTTTGTACATATTTAATGACAACTGTGCATGAAGGCCTTCATGCATTTCTGCAAGTATATCAGTAAATATTAACTGGAGATAAACGTTCTGAACAAATGTTTTAAATAAAAATGAAATGTGCCTTTTTATATCCAGTACATTTGCCCCATAAGTCACAAACAGAAGGAGTGTTACAAGTACATCTTCAAAATTTCATGTTAAACAATCCCTCATGGCCTTCATTAAACACTGTGATTCAAAAGAAGTCTTTATTTGTTTTAGACTGCATTTAAATCAGATTTGTTTTATTCTTTCAATGTAGAGCTCTATAACATTACATCCTCAACACATATATTAAATAATTTATATGTGTGACCATCTGTGCATGAGGTACAAAGAACATATATGAACATGTATTTTAGTATCTCCAATTGTATTCACAATTTTTTAGACTAGACTGAACCAAAAGAGGTCTGAATAAATAAGACTTCAGCCTAGGCCAGGCAATGTGTGTGTTTCTGCTGCACTAGCAAAAGGTGTAATTGTCTTACAGAAGGAGAATATGAAATAGTTTTTTGCAAATAGTTCAGAAATATTTGTTTTTGCCATTTATTAATGTGCGTTCTATATATATTGAAAACCAAATTTCACTTAAATGTTCGTGTAATAATGTTGCTGCTTCTGTGCTGTTTTATGGGGTATAACAAAATAGTTTTTAAAAAGATGGTTGCTTCATTGGTTGATTTCTAATGCGACATTCTGGCAATTAAGTCATTTGTACTTTTAACCTCAATTGGTTGGCATATTTGTAAGTCATTTTCTATTCAGACACCACTTGAGTGAGTTAGGTTTTCCATTTGTCCAGCATACTGCATTTGNTTTTTCTTCTACCCTGAAGATGGAGGCGATACGTTCCTCCGAAACGTCGGTTAACACCACATATACACGGTGCCAAATCCCAGAAGACTGCTTTCTTCATAGTCACCGCCGTGAAAGCCTCAAATCTTACATACTGCATTTGGTTTGGGTATTTTCAATTTGGTCCCACCCTTGTCCACCAGAGGACTCTTCAGTTGTACAACTGCAGTGGCATCTAAGAGTCAAGTACGGAGTTTTTTGGACGACCAAAAATGGCGTCTAAATTCGCCTTCGCTCATAGCTTACCACAAGTGAAAAGTTCCTTTACATGACATAAATGTATGTGAAACCCCCACCTTTACTTCCCCTACAATACTGTTCTGTCAGAAGCTGCGTTCTGTGCTTGAAGCTGTTATTTTCATGTGTTACAGAACATTAAAGCCCCATGAGCTACTCCTGTATGCTTGGGAGAATCCCACTGGGTCTCACTGCATTGTGTGGAATGCTGGGAAGAAGAAGGAGATCACAGATGAACTACGGAAGGTGAATAGATTTAGTCTCTTAGTCTCTCATTCAGAGACAAGTTTGGATTTTGACTGCATACTTCAATGCTTTCAATTCATTTGTTTCTCCTTGTGAGTATGACAGTATCTCAACTATATAGCATCAAATGGAAGGATGATTGATGAATAATGAATTGAAAAGGATGTACAAGGAAGCAATTGTATCCTAATCAAGGTACTATCCTGGCATTTGTCTGGAGGGACTAAGGAAATCACAGAAAACCTCAGTCAGGATAGCAGTTCTGGCCAGTATTTGAACTGAGTACCTCTGAATGGGAGTCTAGATCACTTCTGTTAGACAGTCCTGTTTGACAACAATTCATGTTGTTGCTTTACATGTTATGAAGACTTTCTAGAAACATGTATAGATCCAGATTTGTTAGAAATATTACTTAACTAGCAAATTGCCCATTGAAGATTCACCAGAAGGTCTCTGTTTATTATATACTGTATTTCTATTCCTTATCTTGTACTCTTAACTTGGGGATGGCACATTTGTCTGATATTATCATAAACATCTATCAGACTACAGAGTTTATCATCCCAGAAGACAGTAATCTTTATAGTCACTGCCACTGGGACCTTAGATCTCATGAGTAAATGTTGTATCTTGCGTTGAACTTGGTGGAATGACTATAAATTGTGTACAAAGGGGCATTATAGAAAATTGTTATATAAAAGTAGTGTTACCATTTTCATTCTCACTGGAGTAACTTTTCATTTGGTCAACATGAATATAATATTTTTAACAGTGTTCTAGTAAAGAAGTAATATTATTGTATGGGATGAAATGGTAGGAGGTTGGCGGAAACTGCACAATGAGGAGCTTCATAAGTTGTACTTTCACTTTATTTTAAATTCCATAGATCCTTTCAGGTCATGCATACCATAGAATATAGAACATGTCAAAATACATAAAAACAATGGACCCATCAACATGCAATACAGTCACAATACAAAATTTGTACATAAAATATTCAGATATGATCAAATTTATGCAGATATATGATTATCATTGTCACAATCATAAATTAATACAAAGGACATATTCATAATATAGAAGTTTGATGCAATTATCTCCATCACATAACTACAAATACTTAATTTAACAGTCCAAATATAATACATTTCATCAGGGTTTAAAAATTAGAATATATAATAAAAATTCAGTATATACAATCAGTCATTTCATAGTAAAAACCTTCAAATTTGAAAACTATTAATTAACATATTCCTCTACAGGATAAAAGGAAATGAGCTGTAACTAAACCATTAACGACCATCTTAATTGTTTACTGTCATGTGTTATTTAAAACAGATGGTCTATCACAGGGGTCGGGGAACTATTTTGCTTATTACCCCAAAATATATTTATTTACGCTGACGTTACCCCCTTGATTTGAAAGAGAGAAAATCATAGATTATTGAAATTCAAAAGGTTTATTAAATCTCCATGATTTATTTTATCCGTCTTCTAGTGCATACATTCATCTATCCCCTCTTCTCACTCTCACTACATGTTTCGGCACAAATGTGCCATCTTCAGGTGCTGATCCAATCCACGACAAACTAGTTCATTGCATGCCTTGTCTATACATACTAAAATAACTAAAATATATATTTATCATATATACTGATAAATGTTAAGTGTTAAAATATTAAAATTGTACAGCATATTTCATTCTTACGTCGTTTTTCATTACGCGAGTCACGTCTATACTGTGAATATGACGTCATAATTTCCAATTTCTTGAAAATATCCCTGCAAGAATCTCTACGTTTAGTGTTCGTTACGATTCTAATAATTTTCTTTTGCAAGATAAACACTTTCCTGGCATGAGAGAAGCCACCCAAGAAGATTATACCATAACTCAAAATGGAGTGTACATAAGCAAAGTAGATTAGCCTTAACATTGCAAATGATAGAATATGTTTTATATTTCACAATGCATAGCACGCAGAGGATAATCTACTGATCACTAGGTCAATATGCTGTTTCCAAGATAATACATCATCAATAATGAAACCAAGGAACTTAATTTCTGTTACACTGGAGATACTTTCCTGATCATAATTAATTTGTGTCATTGTGTTACAACAATTCATGGGCCGAAACTCTAAATATTGAGTTTTATTGAAATTTAAGATAAGTAAATTAACATTAAACCAAGTGTTTATGTCTTTAAAGGTTTGATTAAGATTTGTTTCAAAGTTTACATTATTAGTATCAGTAATTATGATACTGGTGTCATCAGCATATAGAGCCTTGTTATTATCCTTATTTATTATTTTAGGTAAATCATTTATATAAAATAAGAAAAACAGGGGCCAGGAATTGAGCCCTGTGGAACTCCACATTTCACTATTTCCCACTTAGATGTATTGTTACTATCCATTATATGACCCAAAACAACTCTCTGATGTCTACCAGTTAGATAAGATTTAATTAGTGTTTTAAATATACCTTCTATTCCAAAGAATTCCAGTTTAACCAACAAAATTTTGTGATTTACACAATCAAAAACCTTTTGCAGGTCACATAAAATACCTCCCACATTTTGCTTATTATTCATGGCTGCGAGAATACTATTAATCAATGAAAATGTCGCCGTCTCAGTTGAAAGATGTGTCCATATTGTTCCTGAGCCAAGATACTGTTAGCTTCAATATGAGTGATAAATCTCAAATAAATAACTTTTTCAATAATTTTTGAAAAGGAAGTCAACAACGAAATGGGCCTGTAGGTAGAGATTTCTTGTATTTTATCTTTTTTAAAGCAAGGTTTAACTATGGCAAATTTTAATCGATCTGGAAATACACCAGCACCCAGGATCACATTGCAAATATCTGTTAATGGTGAGATTATAAATGGAGCACTGTTTGCCAGATGTAATTAGAACAATCAAATCAAAAGAGAATGAGATAGTCAGTGTATGTAGCACACATGGTAGAGAAGAGAAATGCATATAGAATTTTGCTGGAAAAGCCAGAAGGAATGAGACCACTGGGAAGACCTAGATATAGGTGGGAGGGTAATATTAAAATTGATCTTAGAGAAATTGGATGGGGTGGTATGGACTGGATTGAACTGGCTTATAGGGACGAGTGCAGTGCTCTTCTGAACATAATAATGAACCTTCAGGTTTCATAAAATGTCAGGAAATTATCAAGTAGTTGAGTGACTAGTGGTATCTCAAGAAGGATTCAGCTCCATTGAATAGGTAATTAGAGGTGTGAAGTTCTCACAAAACTGCAGTCTTCTGGGGTGTGTCACTTTGTAATCTGCTGGTACACAAACAAATACAAACTCTGTGGTTTTAGTCCGAGCAAGCAAACTGTACCGACCACGTGACCACTGCTTGTCAACGAAATTGTACACAGCAGAGGTAAAATCGTTTGTATATTGATAACACTCATGGAAACTCAAACATTTCTTCTTTATTGTATGATTCTTCATGATAAATCAGAAATTATGCTGTATGACCAGATGTCAAACAATGATTTGAGAATAAACCTTTCTTAGGTCCAAACAGAATAGGTTTGCTTTAGTTACCTGTTCCCCTGAAGCCAGAACTAGAACCAATTTCCAAAACTTAATGGTTTCACTAAACTGAGATGGTGAAGAAAACCCAAAATATATGTCACACCATTGTCAGAAAGTTATAAATTTGGCATTATCATGTTTCATCCTGTTTACAAGAAAACAGGACCGCTTTCTTTCTGTACTGTCCATCTAGCTTGTGTGTACTTTCCATGTTACCAGCATATGATTAAAGCAATTCCTGGTTATTCTGTGCAGGATGGTATAGGAGAGTTCGAACCAAATGAAGATCGCCAGGTGTGGTGGGTTTCTTTTTTGGATGGAATGCAGAGAGTATTACTCTTTACTCCAGACATGAACATAGCTCGTGATGCTCAGTCTGCTGGTGAGCTTGAGCCTCTTGACAAGGAAATTACAGTCTCAATACATGGTCTTGGTCTCTCACTTGTCAATAATCTGACCCGTGTTGAGGTTATGTACTTAGGCATTGCCAGGTAAGAACTGAAGTATAGGTGAAATTTTGTATGTATTGTAAATTTTTAAAGTTGTAAGATTCTCTTAACACAGTGAACATCAAAGCATAGCCATGTCATCACATGGAAATGTTCTGGGTACTTTTGCTTGTGTTTAAATACTAATATAATTTTGTAATGTTTAATAAAGTGGAGCTTAATCATAGGTCATCATTTATAAAACTACCAGTGCCATTGTTGCATATTTTAAATATGCCCCATCAGAAGATAAAAGTGGTCTCATTAAGGACAGCTTATATATAGAATTATAAAATATGTATAGTAAATCAGGATAAATGATTATAAAAAATATCATCCAAGCAACACTGGATGGCTCTCCTCCTCCTCTGTCTTCATCCTCATCTTTGTCTTGGAGTAAATCTAGGCCAGGAGAGTTGCCAGAAGTTTATAAAATACATGTAACAGGTGGTTTCAGAGGTAAAAACCAACATTGATTTTTTTGTAATGGCACAATGTTACTTTAATTTACAATTGTTGGAGGTTTTTTTCTTTTTCCCTCATCCTTTGAAATATCTTTTGAAGGTGGCTTTTATCACATTGTTTTTTCCAGTTATTCAGTATAAAGGCTATCTCTTATGAATATTGTTTCAGATCTCGCCTCCAGTTGGTACAGAGAACATCAAGAGTTGGTTCTGAAAGAAATTAATTCTCTGTGTTGCACAAGTTCGTGTGTTAATTCTCAGTGTGATAGCTATTTACTCCAGAGGTTCTGACTGCCCTGATCTTTCAATGAAAGCATTGTAAACCATCTGAAACGTTTACTTCCTCACCGCTGTGTTTATGTTGTGTTATAGTTCAGGTGTGATCTGGGAGACTTGCAAGTCTAATAAGCAGCGCTTCAAAGCACTGAGCGTGAAGGACTGTCTTGCTGTTGAGGAGGCCTTTGAACGTTACACCATGGAACTTGCTATTGGAAAAGCTGTTAATCCAAGAGTAGTTGTGGATTCTAAGACTGAGGTGAATATTTAGAATCATAATAGATTGAAAAACAAATCTGAATTATTTTGTCTTCTTTGCACACTAAAAATTAAAATGGAATGATCGAGGAACAGGAATACAAGTTTGAGGAACATTGCAATATATTAGAATCATTGATCTTGTTGAACTACATGGCGTCTCATCCCAGAAGATTGTGCTGTTCAAAGAGAATTTCCTTTTTCACATGTGATTTTTAAGGAATAATGTCCATCTGCTCAAAATGCAGTTTTCTAGGAAGTGACAGCATGTAGCCTTGCAGGTGGGTATGGTTGTTTCAGAGGAAGATCTCACCTCCATCCTCAGGACTGATGTATGTAGGATGAGGAATTGGTTTGGTTATATAGAGAAATTGAAGGAAGGTGGCCAGTTAGACCCATGGGAGGGGTTAAGGAACTGGAGCTTGATCCAAACCACTGGGAACTGGTAGGAAAGTAGACCTTTTGTGACAGGAAGGAAATGAAGGTTTGAGATGAGATGACCGTTTCCTGTGCCTAGTATTTTCTGTCTAACAGGAGGGAAAGTGGAACTGTGAGGAAAGAAGGCCCTTTTGAAAACCACTGTGGGCAGGAAATGGGATACGAGAAGTTGCCACCTTTTGAGGCCTAAGTAGGGGATTATCATGCCAAGGGGAAGTAACTGTCTTGTCCTTGGAGAGAACCTACCTCACTTCTTCAGGAAATAGATAATAGTCTTCCATGGTCTGCTCAAGGAGAAGTTTCATGCATCTATCTGTTATTATATAAAGGAAGTGAAACTGTGAGACTTGTTACCAACCTTAGCCCATAGTATTGTGCCACCTCAAGGGAAATCCTGTTCAAAATGGCCTATGTTCCAGTCTGTTGTATGTATAAAATATGGTAGCAAATTTCTTTTTGTTGCCAGGTGGATTTTGAGACTGGGGAGGTGTTACGACCGTTCAAGCGTCGCCTTCGCCGCACATTCCAGACTGGATTGTGGCTTCAGATGAAGACGTCTCCACACCAGTTGCAGCTTCATGCCAAAGTGAACCGACTGCAAATTGATAATCAGATGTATGACTGTGTGTTCCCAGTTGTGCTTGCACCAGTGCCTCCGCCCAAGAGCGTTGCTGCAGACAGTGGTATGTTACTCCTTATAAATGTGATATTGAATGGATGTGTTGATGGAAGGTGTGCTCTACACGCTACAGAAACTCCTTGGCAAAACTCAGAAGAATTAGATTTTATTATATTAACAGGAGGCACCTTTGTAGAACTTCAGTTTTATGTTAATTTAGCCGGGATAACTGTGTATGGTGACTAGGCTGTGGACTGGATAAGTGAGGCATTGGAGTTTATTCTTGGCAAGAGCAAGATGTTTTTCTTTTCACAATGGTGTCCATTCTGGCCTTGACACCACCTAGCCTCCTCTATGCTGTGTACTAGGATGTCTGTTTCTGAGGGAAGAGTAGCCACTGGTTCCTCATCTCTACCTAGTGCCAAGGTTAAGAAAGTGAGGAGCCACACCCCCACTTCCCCATCCATCTTCATGGTTCAGTACTTTGTTAAGCACAGGGACAGCGGCCTCCGTAGTCTAGAGGTAACGTTCCCACCTCATGACTCGTAGTACGCGGGTTCAAATACCCGGCGGAGGTCGTCGAATTTTTAAGGGCGGAAATATTCAGAGAACAAGTCCTCCGGGAGGGACTTTAAGCCGTGGGTCCCGTGTCATAGCTTTACGCCACATAAAAGAACCTCATACCTCCAAAGGAGGTCGCTGAGCAAAATTGCGGACGTTTGCCGCCCAACAGCAGTCACTAATACCTCTGGTAGAGGGGGGAAGCATTATAGATACTTCTCAGCCAGTAGAGAGCCGGTCTCGCTGGCTGGGCAGGACTGATGGTAAGCACCAATGCCGGTAGGATATAGAGGCTGGTGGAAATCATGGAGGGAAGCACAATGGACCACTACAGGTCTAAGGGCATGGGGAAACCCACCCTCTCTAATAACTAACTAACTAAGCACAGGGACAGCTTTACCTTGCCTTGTATAACACTTTTTGTCATGTTACAGATATTCTGTGTTCCTCTTCCAGAGGTTGGAATGCTACTTTCCATATGTAAAGAGAGATATGCATATAATAGAGTTTCTCAGACTTCTTGATACAGTGGCCCCCTGAATTAATGCATAATTTATGTTTCACCCCTTTCTGTTTGTCAGCAGAAAGTTGAATGTGCACACTGTTGCAGGTTCCTGTCAGGATGTACAGTGATAGCATGGACCTAAATACCGTATTTACGCATGTATAGGCCACACATTTTTTGCCAAAAATTCAAGAGGAAAACTGGGGTGCAGCTTATATTCAAAATATTCGAAATCACACTTCATTTAAAAAAAAATTATATTCATAATTAGTAATACTAGTAGTATACTAATAGTAATAATATTCCAAGAAAATTATTTTTTCTGTAATTTTTGTCTGAAAATGGTGCTGCGGCCTATACACGCACGCAGCCTATACATGTGTAAATACGGTAGTTTTATGTGTGTACAGTCTTGAAAAATCGGCGAAACGTTGCTCCCAGTTTCTCACAGCACTTGCTGACTAGCTAGAGCTGTGCATTATACAGCTATATTTTAAATAATTCTTGAGACCTCCATACACCCCCACCATTAAAGTAGGTCATGACCCCCTGGAGGATTGCACCCCACTGTTTTTAAAGCTGCAGCTTATAATGCCATAAGCTTATGACTGCCCATGTTTGTCTCTTCACAGTAACTTCTGAAGAGTTGATGGACTTTCACGAAACTTAATCCAAACATAATGCCTCTAGAGACCATCTTTCCTTTGTTTTTTATGATTACACATTATTTAATTGCACCCATATGCACTTCTGAGATGGGAGCAACATTAGCACTGCCTAGTGTTGGATTTTAAATTGTATATGATAATAATCATCAGAAACACCTGCAACTTTTGCTAGGTTATCTTTTCTAGAATGTAAAACAATTTGATNTAAATAATTCTTGAGACCTCCATACACCCCCACCATTAAAGTAGGTCATGACCCCCTGGAGGATTGCACCCCACTGTTTTTAAAGCTGCAGCTTATAATGCCATAAGCTTATGACTGCCCATGTTTGTCTCTTCACAGTAACTTCTGAAGAGTTGATGGACTTTCACGAAACTTAATCCAAACATAATGCCTCTAGAGACCATCTTTCCTTTGTTTTTTATGATTACACATTATTTAATTGCACCCATATGCACTTCTGAGATGGGAGCAACATTAGCACTGCCTAGTGTTGGATTTTAAATTGTATATGATAATAATAATCATCAGAAACACCTGCAACTTTTGCTAGGTTATCTTTTCTAGAATGTAAAACAATTTGATTGCCATGCAGACTCTGTATTTAACTTTTCAATTGTTTCTGATGACTTCGGAACCATTGAGGCTAAGCACGTAATTTTTGTATGCAGATAAATTATGAACATATCTACAGATTCACTATGAACCATCTTTATATGTTAGTCAGAGTTATGGCAGATGTGCAGAACTTTTGAGGTTGTATTGGGCAAATTTAATACAGTGTAGGATTTGAGGGTCTCACAGTGGTGGTTATGAAGAGGACTATCTTCTGGGATGTAATGTCATGTAGTCCGTTGACAGTCAACTGACATTTTGGAGGAACATATTGTCTCCATCTACGGGGTCGAATGTCAGCAAACTACATGGCATTAAATTCAAGAAGATAGTACTCTTCAAAATTAATACAGTTAGAATCTCTAGTAATGGAAATTGATATATTCTACCCTGAAGATGGAAATGACAGGTTACTCCAAAATATATGTATAACTACAAAAGTATATGATAATCGCATCCTAGAAGACAGTAATCTTAAAGAAGGATGGAATCTTGTAACATGTTTATTCAGATGATTGAGGAGAATGACAGATTATGTTAGGATACTAATTATGTTTGATGAAACTCGTTTTAAGCTTACAGTTTTTATCAGTGAGCAGAAGAAACTGTGGAGCACTTCCACTAATGAGTCTTACACAGTGAACATGACACAGTATCATCTGGAATTTCTTGTGCTCAAGTCATTGTGCCATATTCTTTCTGTTGCCACTGGAACAACCTACAAGCCACTGTTTACCAGTATTTAGGTATTACAAATATACTTAAAAAATTGCCCTTTTATGTGGTATGTGAAGTTAAAGCTATCTCTGTAACCGGTCATGGAGGTCCATAGGGTTGTGAGATGTTTAGGGTCCAACAGTATCTAGACACTTGCCTCTCAAATCGTGGTAACGTTGTCAGCCTTATGCGCCGGCAACCCTCTGCCCCGCAGGAAGATTCCTGGTACTCATTTCTATCAGAGGCTAGTCAATCCCAGGGCCATAGTGCAGCTGGAAGGATATTAGGTAAATTGAAAAAGTCCACCTCATCAGGACTCAAACCCGTAACCTTCCAGCTTGTAGCATAGTGCCTCAACCAACTATGCTACTGCATGTCCTCTGTATGATATGTAAATATTCCAATTATTTTTTAATTGTTCATTCTATATGATATATAAATATGTTCATTATTTTTTGCTCACACTGTTTACTTGAATTTTTTTACCAACTTTGATAGCTGTTAAAACAGCCCCACATTACAGAGTTTGCCATAAGCAGTACAGTTATTTATATGAACAATATACTCTGTATTATATTTTTAAACCCAAAGATTTGTCACCTCCATAACAAAAGCCCACCAAAATATCCTATCTTGTACCAATTTGGTCCAGCTCCTTTAAGCTTGGTAACATGTATTACTTTATTGTTGGCAGCACTGAAGCCATTTGCAGAACTTAGTATTGTGCAGCGTATAATGCCACACAGTAAGGTGCAGCAGTACAAATATTTTAAGGTACTGATCCAGGAATTCCATGTGAAGGTGGATATGGGCTTCATCAATGCTCTGCTTGAAATGTTTGAGGCTGAGGAGGTATCTGAAACAGAAGAGGTGAGTACAAATTACATGATTGTTACATGTTCTGATACAGTTGCTTTACCAGTACACAGGAATGTAACAGATTCGGCACTTACAGAAATCAAGGGCCCAGAGCCAGGCATTGAATCACATGTGAAGCATGCCGTACTGTACAAGTACATGGGGTCAGTTTCTGCATATGACACTGTATGGAGGAATAACACTGAAAAATGTATGTTGGATTTGAAGTTCTCACATCTGAGACTAAGAAGAATATTGTCCTGGGGGATGCAGTATCATGTAGTCTGATAGAATTTCACTGAAATTTTGGAGGAAGGTGCTACTTCCATCTGTAGTACCGAAGAATAAGCCAAGAAAAATTTGCTTGTTCCCTGCTTTTTGCCATCCACTTGCTGAGTTCATGCTTCAACTCTGAGGCTGGAGGCAGTATGTTCCTCTGAAATTTCAGCGAAATTCTACCGAATTACTTGGCATTACATTCTGGAAGATGATATTTTTCATTAAGAATATAACGTCACGGCTGGAACCACATGATGATCATAGATAATGCGAAACCCCCGTTAGAAAAAGAATGTTTTTGATTGATGCAAAATTAGGTTTCAGCTTTCACCTCATTTGACATGTTTGGTCGGTATGGGCTTTTCTTTTCTTTGGCACTGCAGCCCCAATTTGGGACTTGGCCTACCTCAATGAAACACTCCATTTCACTTTGATTTACTACATCTTAGACATTCCATAGGACTCCTAGGGCAGGTGATCATCTCATTGCAAGGCCTCTACTTGTCTGTACACAGACACAGAAAAACACATACATACATAAACACCAAACATCCATGCCCTGAGTGAGATTCAAATCCACGATCCTGGCTTCCACGCAAGCAAAGACAGTGCTTGCCTTAGACCGCTTGGCTACCGTGACCGGCTCAGTATGGGCTTACATAAGATCTAATGGATTGTTTATGCTTTCCCAGTTATGGGAAATATTTTGTTACTTAATTATTTGTTCCAATAAACAACATGAGACATCCTGTCACAATAAATCATAGAACTGTAATTCAGATTAGTTTGCTTTACTTTGGATTGGTTAAGGGTACCTTATGTCCTCAAGATTTTTGCTGTTTTAAGAAATTAAAGGAGCCTTTCTATGACTGTTCAGAAAGTGAGATGTTTCTCACAACTCCAGTGCAAAACTCAGGATTTGCTCAGCTGATCCTCAGTCTCAGTTTTCCTTTTGTATAAAGGATTCACAGGACAAAAATATCCTGATATAAATGAAGTTGACAGGGTATTCATACATAAATGGCATTGCAGATGCGACTTTTTGAGGAAGACCAACAGTTGGTGGGCAAACCATTGTTGGCTCATGTGACCCTTGTATCCACCCAGGAGCAGAAGAATTTCTATGATCTCCTTCACTTTTCTCCACTGAAGGTTGGTTTATGAATTTAAACAGAATTTTAAATGGTATACAGTTAAATTTAAAAATTAAAAAGTTGTGTGTTGTGGTTGCTCTCTTAATGTCATGTACTTGTTTGTTGGTGGTCTATACTTGTTTATGTTGAAGTTCTTATGTTATATAACCTTAGTTAATTATGTAGGTAAGTCAATATGAACTGAATATAGAACTTAAACAAATAAGAGTACTGATTTGAAAAATGCTTTTATTTCTCAACATAATCTCCCTGTATGTAGAGGCACTTGTCCCATTATTTCACAAGCCCCTGGAAACCAGAAGCATAAAATTCTTTGGGCTGCTGTCAGAACCAGGCATGTTCACAGGGCATTGCCTACCTCATAATGTTTGACAGGTTGCATGCTTCCATTGAATGGCTTTACGAAGTTTCCTGAGGATGTTACAGTAGGAGTCAGCATTTACGGTTTGTCCTTGAAGCTGGAATGCAGTGAGTATGCCTTTGTGATCCCAGAGGACTGTGAATATCACTGTCCTGGAGGATGGTGTCACCTTAAACTTTTTTTTGGCAGGCGACGCAGGATGTTTCCACTGCACTGACGCACGCTTTGTCTCGGGCTTGTAATGGTGAACCCAAGACTCATCACGTATGACAGTTCGGGCTAGTATATCATGTCCTTGATCATGGTACCGATTGAGATGCTGTAATGCCAAACCCATTCTTTGCATTTTGTGTTGTGGGGTCAGCATGCGCGGCACTCATTGTGCACAGACTTTGTGAAAACTTAACCTGTCATGCATTATGAGGTAGGCCATGCCATGTGAACACGCCTGGTTCCGACAGCAGCCCAAAGAATGTTATGCTGCTGGTTTTCAGGAGCTTATGAAACGATGGGACAAATGCCTCAATGTACAGAGAGATTATGTTGAGAAATAAAAGCATTTTTCAAATCAGTACTCTTATTTGTTTAAGTTCTATATCCATTTCTAACTTACTTATTGACTTACCCTCGTATATCTGAATTATGTCTTGTATGTGGCTGTAGCTATGTGCGGTTTCATCTTTGGGGTGTGTGCGCATGCTTACGTGGGGGGGGAAGTGTTAGGTCTGTTCATACAAGGACTTTTCTGAAAGTAACCTCTGTTTATTTTAGGCAGTTAATGAAGCAGCATGGGAGAGCTCAAGATCTCACCTGTGAAGTATCATCATGTGACTCATTGCCTTGTAAACCTTCACATAAGTGGTCACCTAGTGTTTGTTCTTGTCTCTATAGAATGAGTTATGATGTGTCCTCTGATTGATGATCCTGCCAGCTGAGAAATTTGCACTGTTATCTGCTTTCTTCACACTAGAAATATGAGTGCTGCAGAAATCCATTGTGAATTATGCACAGTAGTTTATGGCCAGAATATAATGTGTGATGGAGCTGTAAGACAGTGGTGTGGAATAATCAAAAATGGGCAGGCAAACAAATCTTCGTGTTGAAGAGCAACTTGTTCGGCCTACGAAAGGTAGTGAGTGATGATTGTGTTCAAAGTGTTGGCCAAAAAATTTATGAAAGGCGGCACTTCACAATTTCAGAACTTCCATGTGAATTTCTACAAATTTCAAGCATTGTTCTCTACAAGATTATCACAGTTGGGCTAGGCTATCACAGGTTTTGTGCAATTTAAGTTCCAAAACTGCTCATGGGTGCACACAAAACACAGAGAATGGCTTCAGCTGTTGTAGACTTTTTTGGAGCAATCTCATATAGATGGTAATGAATTTTTCTCAGTCACATCCTACAAGGAACAGGTGATGAAACCTGTTTTTCATTTGTGAATCTTGAAACAAAAAAGGAATCAAAGTGGTGGATGCACACACATTCACCAAGCAAGCTGAAAAAAATTTAAACAAACACTGTCTGCCAGAAAACAGATGGCTGCTGTGTTTTGGGACAGGAAGGGAGTTGTGATGTTGGAATTCATGCAACAAGAGACCACAGTAATGTCTGAAGTGCATTGTGAAACACTAAAGGAAACTGCATAGGACCAGCCATTCACACCAAAAGGTGTGGAAAGCTGACATCGGTGTAGTACTCATCCATGACAATCCCCATCTGCATACAAGTACAGCTGCTCACACCCGAGCACTGCTGAAGCATTGTGACTGGGAGTTGTTTGACCACCCTCCTTGCAGTCCTGATCTCTCACTGAGCAACTACAACGTGTTTACCTACATGAAGAAATGGTTGGGATCATAGCACTTGAACAGTAATAAGGAGCTGATGGAAGATGTCAGAATATGGCTGAGCTCACAGGCTTTAGACTTCTTTGAAAGAGGCATACAAAACTTATTTCCTGATAAAACAAATGCCTCAATTCCAGCAGTAACTGTTGAGAAGTAGCTTAAGTATGTTCATATTTTTTTTTATATAATAATTTTTTTTCTCATTTCTTGCTTTGTTAACAGCTCATTGGAGGTTACTTTCCGAATGGTCCTCGTATATGATTGGTGGGGCAGTATATACTGCTGTCTGTTGTGTAGTTCATATATAAAGTGATAAAATAGTGTAGCAGGATGCTAAAATACAACATTTTTATATTGTCCCAAGAAGCAATGTCTCTTAAGCCTTAAAGCATTCCAATGAAAAAATACATTAAAAAGTTCTTTTGTTGATTTTGATTAGATGGCTGTTGCAAAAATATTGTTGTATTTTGATAGTCTAGACAATTTTAGTTTGAAATTTTACAAACAACAGCACATTGTGTTGTTTTAATCTTCCCTCAGACCCAGTCATAAACACTAACCTTATGTTCAGAACCAGAGCTGATAATTTCTTTAACATTTTGAAGAGGCTGTTTGAGTCTGTGTGTGTGTGTGCACACTGTCACAGTGATATGTGTTGTTCTTTGTGGTGTCCAGATCCATCTAAGCTTTTCTTTGAGTGGAGGGTCAGGACCAAAAGCCCCAGGACAGGAAACACCTCACTTCATGAATGTACTGCTGCAGAGTCTTGGAGTTACACTCACCGATGTGCAGGATGTTGTGTTCAAGTAAGTGGTACTGACCTACTGCATACATGTACAAAATAACAAGAGATATTTTAGCATGATGTATCACACACAATTTGAAAAATATACTCTTCTGGGTTGGGGCACATGGTAACATAATTGGTTGAGGCACTGTGCTACAAGCCAAAAGGTTGCAGGTTTGAGTCCTGATGAGGTGGATTTTTTCAGTTGACCTAATCCTTCCAGCTGAGCTATGGCCCTGGGGTCAACTCAGCCTCAGACAGAAATGAGTACCAGGAATTTTCCTGGGGGTAAAGGGTGGCTGGCGCGCAAGGCTGACAACCTTACCATCTGTGAGCCAGTGGGACCCTCAACGTCTCACAACCCTATGGGCCTCTATGGCCTCTTACAGAGATAGCTTTACCTTTTACTCTTCTGGGTTGTAATACCCTCTAGTTGGGGAAGAGCTCAGTGTTTTGGCAGTGGAAGCAGGTGGCAAGCTGGAAATAAAACTAACCGAGGAAACAAGAATCTGAAAGTTCATCCCGGAATTTCAAACAAGAAGTAATAGTGCAGAAGTACTGTGTGGCATGTGGTCCTGTTACTAGGCAACGACCATGGAATAAGCACCTGTATAACAGCTGTTGCTAGATAGTGGCTCTGTAAACAACAGCTGTTGCTAGGTAATCACTGCAGCAGATTTGTAATATGCAGCATTGGAATGACTGGGAAAGGGTATTCCACACAGGCCATGCAATGACTACATGATGCAACAGTAGAAGAACTGGTGGGAGATATGTTATAAGCAGGACAAGTTCAGAGTTTAATTAGTTGTGAGACAATCGCCAGCCAGTAAGGACATGAACACAGATGCTGAGGAAGCTACAGCATGGGAATCCATTGCCAGGCAAAAACCAGTGAAGATACATCAAGACTGAGAAGTGTGTGCTGTGGTGAATTGTAGAGTGTGTGTTAATTAGTGATAGCACTACAGTTACTTGTAGTTAAATCTATAAGTGTTTAGTAAATTCAGTTACCAATCCAAACCCTGTCTATAGTCACTCATGCATCTGACAGTATTATAATATATTCTTTGAGTTTAAAATGATAATAAGTTAATAATTTCAATTGGATTTGTGCTGAAAATGTGGTACATGTTAGCAATACAGAGTACTTTTTTATTCATATTCTCAGCCCTGCAGAGCACTAGTAAGTTCTGCCTCTCCTTGTATCTTTCTGTCTGCATGCATGAATGAAACAACTTGAGAACCACTGAGTGGATTTTCTTGAATTCTGATGATAAGGAGTTGTAATAAAATGTATGGACATATACCCATTTTTACATGAAGACATACAAGCTTTTCTGCACATATCTGAATTGTAACTTACTAAATATTTACCAGGGTGATGATTCTTCAGAAATTATTTGTACAGAAAAATGAGGCACATTTTATGTCCAATATATGTTTTTCATAAGTCTAATGGCTTTCAATGTATTTAAACAAAGGGATGCTATGTGTACAAACCCTAACTTGTATATTCGTCACTAAACAATAGTTTTCCAAACATCTGAAGATTGCTGAACAGTCCATATTGGGTTTTGGAATATCGTGAAGATTGCCAGGGTCACTTACTCTGAAAGGTAATTAAACAAATGTTCATCCCACCAGAATTTATATGTCATACATATAAACATATGTTTAATTAAAGCATAATTGATTGTGCTGATAAGTTTCTTATTCTCGGTGGTAACAGATCAGTCTGCCTGAAAATGCTTCACTTTTTCAGATCACAATTATGGAAAGAAATTCTAGGTTAAGTTTATGATATGTTCAGATCTTATTTGTTTTATTACTCTTATGTAATACTCTATTAAAATATGACTTTGAAGCTTGTTGTAAGTTATATGTGTGTTTAATTTTCTTTCGTTTTGTGTAATAAGTCCGGCCTTAATATTGATTGTTTATTCCTTCACTGTATAGTTTTGGTGTCTCATGAATATGATTAAATATCAACTAGCACTTAATACTAGCATATGAATTTAATGTTTGTTTCTTGTAAAGGAAGGGTTCATTGTAGTCTTAATTGTTAGTGTTTCTGTAATAAGACATTCTGGAATTATAGACTTAACATTAATTACATTTCCTGTTCTTATAAGTAATTTCTAGAGCATGGATGTTAGCATAATACTGTCACGTGTTGGGTATGTCACGCAACAAATAACTTCACATGGGTCTCAGATTTAGCAAATCTTTATTGGACACTCACTTCCACACTCACACGCTTTACAGTTATTATCACTTGCAGTATCACAGTTACTGCTTCCACTATATCTCGGCCAATACTAGACTGCTTTTGGCGGCAGCCCTCTAAAGACTGACTCGTTACCGCGGAAGTGCATTATTCTGGTTCAACAATCCATTGCTTAGGAAGTGCAGTATTTCCCGTTGTTACTCATCAACAATTCGTTACTATGATTTGTCGCCGTGGGAACTCCGCAGTTTCCACCTATTCGTTGCTGTGGAAGTGTCCATTCCGATTGTAGCTGTTGTCACGGTGATGGACGTAAGGTAACACATCACAATACTTAAAATTGGTGGTCATGAAATGAAATTCTATATTGTGCGAGTACTGTTGATGACTAAAAACCATGAATCTATGTTTAGGTTGGCATACTTTGAACGACAGTATACGTTCCTGACTCAACACCAGCTCATCTCAGAAGTGTCAATGCATTATGCTGGGCAGTCTGTAAAGCAGCTCTATGTACTGGTACTGGGCCTGGATGTTATAGGCAACCCATACGGACTGGTGCTGGGATTCACGCAGGGTGTAGAGGATCTCTTCTATGAACCTTTTCAGGTATTTAGTTTAAGCGTCCTAATTCATTACAGAAGACAGTGTAAATGAAATGAAGTAGATGATCTCATTTAAAATGGTGTAGGGTGAGACTGAGTCCACTTGCTGCATTTGCCACTAAGTTTTCTGATGTACCAGCGTCAAATGATAAATGAGTATGGAGCATTTGATGGAATGAGAATTGTCAGGGGAAACTGAAGTACTTTTTGAGGGGGGGGACCTGCCACAATGCCA